TGTTTCAAAAGTTATCATTCGCAAAGCCTAGGTAATTTCCGTATGCTTCAGGAAAACTAGAACCTCTTCTCCAGCACGATGCGCAAATGTTTCTTCTCGACAGAACCCAGTCATGTAATGGCGGATCAATGGCATCTCCATCGCCCTCGTTGACTCACAAACTAAAACATCTTATCGATTGATTCCTGCACTCTCTATTGTGCTAAAGTACTGTCAGAAATAGAAAAAAACTGTTTTTAGGCTGTTACTCTGTATCCCTAAAATTTACACAACTGCAAATAACAAATGTCGAAATAACCCACTTCAGCCTAACTGGGCATTCAGTGGGATGCGTAATAGGATATCCAGAAAAACATGTTTACTCGTAAAATCGGACAAAACTTAGAAAAAATACGAAAAGCTGCTGAAAACAATAGATCAGACTATAGATGGCAATTAGGTCGCTCAGCCAGGTATGATGACGGACCGTCGACTCACCTGGCATGAAATGCACGCGTGCTGCCTACAGGCACAAGGGGTCATCTCAAAGATATTTTGTGCTTTTTCATGTATGTTGACTATGCCTCATGTATTGATTAACATCTTATGTGTCTTTCTTTCATGAAGTTTATGTTGAGACATGTAAAAGAGTATGATACCTGATAACCATAGAAACGCTTCGCATTGAATGTATTAGGTGGCATGACCACCCGATCGCGAAGATCGACAGGACTGGATATTATTTGTAAATTGTTATGACATGCTGTATACTTCCCCCAGTATAATTACCCTAAAGGATTATCTTATCTTAGCTGATATCTCTATCCCCAAGCCCAATCCCAACAATCTGCGACACCCGTCTAGGTTTTGCTTTTGAGACGACCCCTCCTACCTGTTTCTTTTTATAGTTACAGTGAGACTCCATGGTAGCTACATCCTTCATAGTTTCAGCATGAAATTTATTATTTTTTATGCCAGCTATCGTTTATAATGAAGCTATGTCTGATTTCAAATTGGGCATTTAAAAAGTGTCCTTTGTAATACAATATCGTCGCACACTAATTTGCATAAAGCCATGGTCTGTTCCAAATAAATCGCTTTGGACTTAGAAAAAACCCTGCATTGCTTATTTCTGCACTAAGCTATCCTCAGTAAAGTCCTTTTACTGCGTTTCCTATGTCCCTACCGCTGAGACTTGCAGTTAGGCCCGAACTTAGTTTAACAGATATTTCACACTTGCACATATCAAATACATAACTTGTAGAGATAAATGAAAAATACAGGTTTTTTTTATTTCCGACAGTACTTTAGTTTCTAGTTTTCAGTTAAACATGAAATACCGAATCTATCCTTGCACTAAGGCTGTAACGATTCACTCGCATATTCGGTGAATTGAACCGTAGCCCTTCATGAATTCAATTCATTATTCGTGGTCACCAGAACCGAATATTAACGAATATTTACGATTGTTTTAAGATAGCAAGTTTTACTTGAACCCATATGTCCTTTTCCAAAGTGAGATATGCAAGAATGGAACATGTACTAGCCTTGCAGTAGCGCAAGTCATGTTAGTTTGCCAAGACTGCACATGGTACTGTCGATTATAACTATAACATACCAAATATGAGTGTCATGGCGTTCCATATTGTACATCAATCACTAAACTACAATATTGTATTCGTGAATAATTATTCGTATTCATTACCCAATATTCATGATACGTATCATATTCACCACATAGTGTATTCGTTGCAGCCCTACCTTGCACATTGATCAACTAACTCCATGGCGGACGCCATATGGATCTAAGTCAATGTAACACATGATCGGATTGGACAGAAAGAAAGCAGATAATTTGTGTTGCGATTTTTTGGTTGCTACAGGATTTTACAAGAACCGGGAAATATGGCCGTATTAGGACAGAGGTTACATAGGAAGATATGACAGGAGTAACCTCTGTGTGAAGAGAATGGGCAGCTATCAATGACCTTGAAAATGAGATCAAGGCCACCTCATTCTTCACCTGACATTTTGAGTTTCAGGAGAAACCTTTCCGTAAAAATAATAAAATCAATACTGTTTTACATAAGGTATCTCATTATCAAATAGCAAACTATTCAAATGATATCATCAACAAGTATGGTTACACCACAAAAAAATTATCACGTTTTTCGGAAATTGTCTGAAAAAAATAAGTTCTATCAGAAATGAAAACCCACTGACTCTAACTTGTTTTATGAGAAAAGACGCATTCAATTCTGTAAAGTCTTCTGACATTTACTGTCTATGGAAAATTTGCCAAAGTGTGACTTGCAAAACAGAACCTCAAGTGCCACTAGCTGTAGGCAACTGTTTCACAACCTCGGTCAACATACTACAGTCTGTGCTAAACACTCTTTAGTTCACAAGCCCTTTTAACAGGAAGTATCATTACCATGATTACTGTTAACTCAGCATATTAGACCAAACAGACATTTACAGGATTTGGGTGTCTGACCATACTAAATGCTGAAATTGCAGACTGACAGCAATAAACTGAACACTGTGATCCGTTATATAGTCAGCCTACCCCATCAACAGATCAGTGGGTCCATCTATATAGTCAGCCTACCCAACAGATCAGTGGGTCTATCTATATAGTCACCCTACCTATCAACAGATCAGTGGGTCTATCTATATAGTCACCCTACCTATCAACAGATCAGTGGGTCCATCTATATAGTCACCCTACCTATCAACAGATCAGTGGGTCTATCTATATAGTCAGCCTACCCATCAACAGACCAGTGAGTCCATCTATATAGTCACCCTACCTATCAACAGATCAGTGGGTCCATCTATATAGTCAGCCTACCCATCAACAGATCAGTGGGTCTATCTATATAGTCACCCTACCTATCAACAGATCAGTGGGTCCATCTATATAGTCATCCTACCCATCAACAGATCAGTGGGTCCATCTATATAGTCAGCTTACCCATCAACAGATCAGTTGGTCCATCTATATAGTCAGCCTACATATCAACAGACCAGTGGGTCCATCTATATAGTCAGCATACCTATCAACAGACCAGTGGGTCTATCAATATAGTCACCCTACCCATCAACAGACCAGTGGGTCCATCTATATAGTCAGCCTACCTATCAACAGACCAGTGGGTCCATCTATATAGTCACTACCCATCAACAGATCAGTGGGTCCATCTATATAGTCAGCCTACCTATCAACAGATCAGTGGGTCTATCTATATAGTCACCCTACCTATCAACAGACCAGTGGGTCCATCTATATAGTCACCCTACCTATCAACAGACCACTGGGTCCATCTATATAGTCAGCCTACCTATCAACAGATCAGTGGGTCCATCTATATAGTCAGCCTACCTATCAACAGATCAGTGGGTCCATCTATATAGTCAGCCTACCTATCAACAGATCAGTGGGTCCATCTATATAGTCACCCTACCCATCAACAGATCAGTGGGTCCATCTATATAGTCAGCCTACCCATCAACAGATCAGTGGGTCCATCTATATAGTCACCCTACCCATCAACAGATCAGTGGGTCCATCTATATAGTCACCCTACCCATCAACAGATCAGTGGGTCCATCTATATAGTCAGCCTACCCATCAACAGATCAGTGGGTCCATCTATATAGTCAGCCTACCTATCAACAGATCAGTGGGTCCATCTATATAGTCAGCCTACCTATCAACAGATCAGTGGGTCCATCTATATAGTCAGCCTACCCATCAACAGATCAGTGGGTCCATCTATATAGTCAGCCTACCTATCAACAGATCAGTGGGTCCATCTATATAGTCAGATCAGTGGTCCATCTATATAGTCAGCCTACCTATCAACAGATCAGTGGGTCCATCTATATAGTCAGCCTACCTATCAACAGATCAGTGGGTCCATCTATATAGTCAGCCTACCCATCAACAGATCAGTGGGTCCATCTATATAGTCACCCTACCTATCAACAGATCAGTGGGTCCATCTATATAGTCAGCCTACCTATCAACAGATCAGTGGGTCCATCTATATAGTCAGCCTACCCATCAACAGATCAGTGGGTCCATCTATATAGTCACCCTACCTATCAACAGATCAGTGGGTCCATCTATATAGTCACCCTACCTATCAACAGATCAGTGGGTCCATCTATATAGTCAGCCTACCATCAACAGATCAGTGGGTCCATATCAACAGACCTATCAACAGACCAGTGGGTCCATCTATATAGTCAGCCTACCCATCAACAGATCAGTGGGTCCATCTATATAGTCAGCCTACCCATCAACAGATCAGTGGGTCCATCTATATAGTCAGCCTACCTATCAACAGATCAGTGGGTCCATCTATATAGTCAGCCTACCTATCAACAGATCAGTGGGTCCATCTATATAGTCAGCCTACCTATCAACAGATCAGTGGGTCCATCTATATAGTCACCACCCATCAATATGGTCCATATAGTCATATAGATCAGTGGGTACCCATCAACAGATCAGTGGGTCCATCTATATAGTCAGCCTACCCATCAACAGATCCAGTGGGTCCATCTATATAGTCAGCCTACCCATCAACAGATCAGTGTGTCCATCTATATAGTCAGCCTACCCATCAACAGACCAGTGGGTCCATCTATATAGTCAGCCTACCATCAACAGATCAGTGGGTCCATCTATATAGTCAGCCTACCCATCAACAGATCAGTGGGTCTATCTATATAGTCAGCCTACCTATCAACAGATCAGTGGGTCCATCTATATAGTCAGCCTACCCATCAACAGATCAGTGTGTTCATCTATATAGTCAGCCTACCCATCAACAGACCAGTGGGTCCATCTATATAGTCAGTCTACCTATCAACAGACCAGTCGGTCCATCTATATAGTCAGGATACCCCCCTGTTGCAGCCCCTGTACCCAAGCCATCAACAGATCAGAGAGTTCACCCAATGCATTATTTAAGAAGATTAGACAGAAAACAACAAATACCAATACTCACTCTCTCTACCTGGTGGTATGATCCCCATACCTGGTGGGTTACCCGACATACTCCCACTTCCTGACAGAACAGCTGGCATGTTACTGTCCTCCCGGTGTTTCCCAGATACTGCCTACCAGCTCACTCTCCACTTATCTCTAAAACTCTCTACCACACCTGGTCTTCCAGCCCTAGTTCGCAGCTCACTCTCCACTTATCTCTAACACTCTCTACCTTTCCCACACCTGGTCTTCCAGACCTGGTTCGCAGCTCACACTCCAATTATCTCTAACACTCTCTACCTGTCCCTGTTGCTCTCTGCCTAATGATCACACAGATTTGACCTATCCTTCACACACACTACCTGTCACTCACACACACTCTAGATGTCTTGAATTTGTCCCCGGCTTTCTACCTGTCCTAGCAAACCCTTTAGCCGACCCTCACACAATGTCTATCACACACTCTACTTATCCTGTCTCACACACACACACTACCTGTCTTTCTCACACAACTTCTACCTGTCTTGAATTTGTTCCCCCACTTTCTACCTGTCCTGGCTGTCCCTCACACAACCTCTACCTGGCCCTCCCACTATCACACCCTCTACCTGTCCTGATTGTCTCTCGCACACTCACTACCTGCCCTCCTCATACACACACTACCTGGCCCTCACAAACCCTTTACCTGTCTATCACACACTTAACCTATCCTGTCTCTAACACACACACACACACACACACACACCTGTCCCCCACACTCACACACACACTGGCCCTCACAAACCCTTTACCTGTCTATCACACACTTAACCTATCCTGTCTCTAACACACACACTAACAGTCCCCCTCACACACACTACCTGTCCTCCTCACAACTTCTACCTAGCCCTCACACAACTTCTACCAGGCCCTCACACAAAATCTACCTGGCCCTCACACAAAATCTACCTGACCCCCACACAAAATCTACCAGGCCCTCACACAAAATCTACCAGGACCTCACACAAAGTGTACCTGGCCCTCACAAACCCTTCACCTGACCTCTATCACACCCTCTACCTGTCCTGACTGTCCCTCACACACACCACCTGTCCCCCTCACACAATCTCTACCAGTCTTGAAAATATTCTCCCACTTTCTACAGATCCTGACTATAACCCTAGACGTTCGTCCTATCCCTCTCACACCTGCCCTTCACGCTCTACCTGCCCCTAACACAGTCCAAATGTCAGTGACAACCTTGGAACTGGCTTGTGTGTCAACCCCCCTGAACTCCCAACAAGCCTGAGATAACACTTCAGCCATATGTTCCCTGCAGTGCAACTTCTGTTAGGACAATTGTGTTAGGACAATTGTGTTTATTGTGTCGAGAGCAACATCCAACATGACAGTGACACATGACAACAGCTAATTACAAACCAGTTTATGCGTCCATTTAATTATTATCATCATAATTGATATCACACAGATGTACATACCATTTCATGTTTATTTGATTATTAATAAAACATAATAGAAGATAACCAATCTACAATCTAAAAGCAGTTTACAATGATGCAAATGTATCTCCCAAATTATATTTATTCTTTTTCTGGTAGTAAATGTTTTGGGCATTTCAAGGGTCCTGTAAGACGATACAAAAAGACCGATCTTGACAAAATTATCACTAAAAATGTATCTAAGACTGTGGACTGAAAATGAAATAAAACATTGTACCTTGTTGACTCAGTGTTTTTGTTTGCTATTTGGTATTTGTTTATTTGTTCATTGTTTACTACCGCACTCAGCAATATTCCAGCAAATTGGGGAGATCTGTAAATAATCAAGTCTGGACCAGACAATCCAGTGATCAACAGCATGAGCATCGACCTATGCAACTGGGATACAATGACGTGTGCTCTTATAGTGAGTGAGTGAGTGAGTGAGTGAGTGAGTGAGTGAGTGAGTGAGTGAGAGTATTTACGCCGCTTGTATGCAGTCGGAAGAGAACGCTACTTAATGAAAGTGTGTTTTGACGCTAGGTGTGAATGTCAAGATAACAAACATTTTGGCAAAATGATCACTAAATATTAAATGCTAATTTAAGAACATTCAACATGAAATTTATAGGTTTAATAGATATCAAACATGGTTCTATTTTTCTGTGACAATTCAGAGTTTATAGGTTTAATAGATTGCCGTTTCAGAGTGTCAACTATTTGAACATGGAAAACATCAGAGGTGAATGAAAGTCTGTGTAGATTTTAACTGCTCATTTTTGTGTATAACATTTGCAATCAACAGACATAAACCACAGAGATGCTGACAGAACTTGTTATAATTTTCTTACCCAAAATACTGGTCCTCAGAAACAATTTGCACATTTTCATAAGTAAAATGTGTTTAATTGTTAGAAAAACTCACTTGACTAACTGAAAAGTAATAGCTGAATATTTCTTTGAAAAGTTATACTTACCTGCAATAACAACCCTCAATAGAAAAATCTGAAAAAATGATGCTAACCAAGTTTTTCGATGACTGATCGGGCAGTGTCAAACATGAGAAGCAATTCCCAACATAGTTTGTCAAAAAACAGAAAGCCTTATTTTCTAACAGAACTGATAAATATGTACATGCACCTCATTATGTTCTAGCGTCAGGTTGGGTGGGGGTATCCACTGTCTCACAATTAAAGTAATTTGTGCCAAATGTCACACAGTAATAATCATTATAACAGTGCTGCTTTGTGGACACACAGAGGTGTTGTAAGTAGTGGTGGTCCGATCATGGAAATAATCGAAGATTGGTCGTAATGACAAATCCAAGCAATGATCATGTTCAGAGTAGTAAAACACAATCAATTTTGGATGACACTAGTGTTGCAACAACAATATTTTTCACAAGGTTGGTTTTGTCATAATTAGATTTCATTAGCACTACAAGCTCTTCAATTCATGATTGAATTTATTTTTAAAGACTCCATGAAATTCATGTTCCTAACATGCTAGTCATTAAAAAAGATGTGAAAACATGCAGTTCTTTTTGTAATTTGGCAAAGAAAAGCGAAAAGAAATACATCTTTTTCTTTGACCTCTATGTTGCATTATAACAAACACAATCTTTAGGATAATTTGATAAATGACTTGAAAACAATTATTTTCAGATGATTGATTGGTTGTAATGAACCAATCATCAATTATGAGATTGAAACCAATTCCGAACACTAGTTTCCAGAATTGTTTGTGTTCATGATACGGAGGGGTGCAATAAATGGTCATTTAGTCACGATCCATCAATTTCTGATATCAAGTAATAAAACATTCGACTAATGAGCAATGTGATCGTAGCTATTAATAAGTTATCAAAACATTGGTTCATACCAAAAAAGATAAGGGGTGTTGTAAGGTTTGATTCACTGTATTTTTGTACTTTTGTACTTATCTTTGCCTACTCTTATGATTCAATGAGAAATTGGTGCATTAAATATATGTTTGAACTCTCTTTATTTTTGTACTTTTGTACAAAATTAAACTTCATGCTTTAAATATAATGCATTCATAAGGAGAAATATATACAAATATATTTTTCACACACCTCAAATACACCCAACAATTTTTCTAAACTTATAAAACTATCACCATTACTTGCAAATATCTTTCAACTGATGGTATATTCCCCTCATAAAAATTAAAGGTGCATGTGAAAGAAGTTTTTAGAATAATAACTAGAAAAACTCAAACATCTCCTTGTAGTATTTCAATGGTGGATCAGGTCAGATGTCATATTTTCACACACCTCAAATACACCCTAACAATTTTTCTAAAATCATGAAACTGTCACTATTTCTTGCAAACACCTTTCAACTAAGGTATATTTCCCTTCTAAAAATTAAAACAAATATGTGAAATACGTTTTTATCGATAGAATTTAGACTTTCTTCGCATGTAGTCTAATCTAATACAAGCCGACCCCTTAATTAATGAACTTAGACTCTCCCAGTCTGTTAACACGGTCTGAAATTCGACTGATTAGCACAGAACCACTCAAGCATGATTTGTCGGATCGGCACTGCTGACTGTTCAAAATCCGACGGATTAGGCAGTAATCCAATAAATAACTGTACAATATGTATCCTGACTTTATGGGTGATATAATACACTATTCCTGATGCAGTACTTTTACTTAATTAGTTGATGCTCTTCCTTTTTCCAGATAAATGACAATCCTGAATCGATTGTTCTTAAACCTAGGACATCAAAGATGGGATATTGTAAGGAAGAAATATACAAGCTAGACATCACTATGAATATTGTGAGACTTACAGCCACAAATGAGATTTGTTTGTTGCTGCACTCTGTGATATTACTGACAATAGGGGTGGTCTGTAAATAATCGAGTGAGGACCAGACAATACAGGGGTGGAAATAACCCATTGCCCGACGCCCGAGTCCAGTGTTTTTTCTGTTGGGCAAGCAAATTTGTATATCACACTGTACCAGTGTCCAGTTGATATTCCAATATTAATTATGTTGTTTATTTAAAAAATCAACAAGAAAACGGACGGTATAGTGGAAAAATTATCAGGGCAAGTGATTTTACATGTGCCACTGTACCGGAGTACACTAGCAATTTTAAAGTTATTTCCACCCCTGCAATACAGTGATTGGCATCACCAAGCATTGATCTACACAATTGGGATACGATGACATGTGTCAACCAGTCAGCGAGCTTGACCAACCAATCCTGTTAGTCGCCTTTTATGACAAGCATGGGCTGCTGAAGACCAGTTCTACCCTATCTTCACGGGTCAGATATAATCATGATAATAGTAAATTTGAATTCCATGGTAATGTTTTTACCCCAGTATGACTTTTAATGGGGTTACAGGTGGTTATACACATAAACAGGTTTTCCTTTGCATCTGGACATCTAGGTGGTAGGGTAGCAGAGTGGTGAAAGCGTTCACTTGTCACGAACCGGGTTCAATTCCTCACATGGGTACAATATGTTAAGCCAATTTCTGATATTGCTGGAATATTGCTCAAATGGGTGTAAAACAAAACTCACTATCTGGACATCTATCCCTAAATACCAGTGAAGATCCAGGATAAAACTGATCTTCAGTAACACATGCTTGTCGTAAGAGGCGACTATAACAGGATCAGGTGGTCAGGCTCACTGACTTGGTTGACACATGTCATTGTATCCCAATTGCATAGATCGGTGCTCATGCTGTTGATCACTGGATTGTCTGGTCCAGACTCGATTATTTACAGACCGCTGCCATATAGCTGGAATATTACTGAGTGTGGCGTAAAACTAAACTCACTCACTCTATCCCTAAATGCTACACCTACCTGGATAGTCCACACTTGTGCCATTATTCTCAGATGAATCCTCTGGAAAATGAAAACCGTTGACGTCTGTGGAAGCCATCACGTCGTCTGTCAATTTTGAGGTGTAATGGTACAATGGTCCCAGTTACAAACCCGGAAATTCCGTAATTTACATGTTCCCTGCAATAATCTTCCTGAATAATCACATCTATACACTTTAGTGACAGTCGCTACCGTCGACGCTGACGCTGCATTGCTGATCGGCTGCAAGTGGAGTAGCTTAGCTCACACAGTGGGCTGATTTCTTTAGGGTAAGTAAACACTTAAAAACATGGTGACAGGGACGATAGTGTATGACTTATTGTTGTATCTTGACGAACAACATGAGCCGATGTGGGGTCACTATACAAGAGGTCACGCCACATGCTAGAGTCATGTTTACAGCAGTTATGCCCCTTCCAAACCAAAGTTCTTATTGTTTGCGAAACCGTCAAGTGTTGCCTTGATCACACACAAGCACCTGACCTAAACTCCTTACAGTACATAGAAGGTTTCGAATACTATTCGTCTGTACAGGGAAAATGCACTCGGTAATGCTAAGAGTATGAGACTTTACTGCGATCTTGATCTAATAAATCTTATTGCAACAAATGTATAATGTTTTTTATCTAATGTAAGTCACCAGTTGTGCATTCATATGTATATCTGAGATTTCTTAAAGAGAAAATATTATTATAGAAAAGACGAATGAATTATCTCCGGGCCAGTCATGATCCGCAAAATGGCTGCGGATAGTAATATTTGTCGGTCGATCAAGTCAGTCTTGGAGAAAATAAGCATTGCAAGTAGTAAAAGACAAGAGGTAAATGAAGAAAAGGGACACCATGGTAACCCTTTATTTGTACATGTATTTTATTAGAGAAATCGTGTATCAGGAAAACAACACTGAAAGGCATTTGCTCTCTATGCTTGTTTGTGACCCGTCGTCTGCTTGAGTGATGATAAATCCTGAAGCCCCATCATCACCATGTCCGTGTCACCATTTTAATTTTTGTCATCATTGTTACATCCCTGTGAATGTATACACGAACACGTCGATCGCATCTGCTTATGACAGCTTGTTATTTGGATTTGCCATTTTTGTGCGACAATGACATGAGGTCAGGTGCTTCTTCGTAAAGTGGCCCAGCACGATAAAATAGGAGCCAGGTGCTTGTTTTGTGAACAGAAAGCAGGACGAGAGAAAAGCAGTCTTGTGCTTGTTATGCGAAGTAGCTCAGCATACAAGAATTTAGGCCAGGTGATTGTTACGTAAACTGGTTCAGCACATGAGAATTGAGGTCAGGTGCTTGTTACGTAAACTGGTTCTGCACGATAAATTCAGGTCATGTGCTTGTTATCTGAACTGGTTCAGAACATAAAATTGGGGTCATGTTATGAACAGAAAGCAGGATGAGAGTATAGAAATCTGGTGCTTTTTATGTTAACTGGTTCAGCATACAAAAATTGAGGCCAGGTGCTTGTTATCTCAGCTGATTCAGCATATGAGAATTGAGGTCAGGTGCTTGTTTTGTAAACAGAAAACTGGACTAGAGAATAGAAGTCATGCAGGGCTGCCAACCTAATATGTTTCCAACGAGTAGATTTACCAAAAGCTGGGGTCCAGGGTCAGGTCAATGATGATGCCCTGGCAGGGAGTCTAGCGGGGTGGAGCCTCCCAGCCGAAAAAGGATTTAGCACTTTTAAACACTCTCTTGGAGACCAGGGAATGGAGATATATTATAATTTTTGGAAATGCTTGAGATTTCACTGTTTGGTCCTGAAAGCGTGATTTTGTATGAAAATGCGTAATTCTCACGCCAAATGCGTGACAGTTGGCAGGTATGGTCATGTGATTGTTATATGAACTTATGAGTCCTTAAGAATTGAAGTAAGGTGATTGCGGCTCACCACAAGACACATGGGCAGGCTGTGTAAACTGCCTACCAGAGCAAATTTGTACAAAAGGATACGCCAGTTTTTAATATTGTACCCCCGAAAATGCAAAAACATGTTGAAGTCAATTCTTCAAAATAAATATGTCAACAATAATAACTTCACAGAACTGCTTATCTAATATCTTTAAACATGAATACACAAAATCTGGTGACAATAATATGAAATTGGAGACATTGTTCAGCACAATATATCATGTCTCATACCGAAAATTGCTTGGTTAGCCAATCAAATGCCACAGAATCACATGTAACATATTCGCTGGAATTTCTTGTCTGCCATTACCATGATTACCAGAATTTTGGCAAATCGTAGAAAATGCACTTATAGTCCAGTCATTCTAGCTCATATACAGCTCAACCTAGAACAAATTGCAATAAAAGCTAACTCTTCTGTTTTGTAATCCTCATAATATGTATTTTAAGATATTATAAACACAAAGTGGATCAAGTCAGAGGTTAAACGACACTGAACATGTTTGTCTAATTACTCAAGTGAACCTAATTCCAATTAAAGCATACCGATCTTCCTACGTGCATTTTTACTATATGACGTATTTTTATCATTTCATAAACTTAATTTTTTCTGGATAATAAACTAATGGGCAAAAGAAACGATACCGAGTCGAAATCACTCATATTACAAAACGACAAACCACCATTATGAAAAAGGACAGTGAATTTTAATAACAGGTGTATGAACAACATACACTGTCATTTCCTTCGAGTAGCAACAATAACATTGAGTCACTGTACAAATGAAGGAATGAAGTGTCCAGTATTCGATCACAGATGTAAACAAATTAACATAGGTGGTCAGTATCTGGTATAAATGCAAGCCCTAACTCTACGACGTGCTGAGAACGTCAGACGCCATACACCTTGGGCAGGGATCCTTCGCCATTCCCCTTGAAGGGCTTGGACAAGCTGACATCGGTTTCCAGGAGCAAGGGCTCTAGCACGAATCTGATGGTCCCACAAGTGTTCAATTGGTGACATGTCAGGTGACCTGGAGGGCCAAGGAAGCACATTGGCGTTGTTTCTCTGTAGAAACTCCATGACAATATGTGCTGTATGATGACGGGCATTGTCCTACTGGAACATGATCCGGTTACGACGTTGACGTAGGAATGGTAGTACAACCGGACGCAGAATTTGATCAGTGTATCATTGAGCAGTGAGATCACCATCCACCACAACAAGATCTGTCTTCATATCGTCACATATGCCACCCCAAACCATAACACCGCCTCCACCAAACGGTTCCACTTCCTGTAAAACACCAACGTTGCACACGCTCTCCACGGCGTCTGTAGACATGAACCCTGCTATTATTCCTGAACAGCTGGAACCTGCTTTTGTCTGAGAACATCACTCTCTGCCACTGTCTGTTTTGCCACTGGCAAACTGTGCGTGCCCATCGAAGACGTTGACGTTGATGTTGAAGCGTCAGCCGTACACCACGGTAGGGCCTGAAGGCGCAGATACCGCATTGTCTGAGTCGTCATGCTGCTTTTCATCGACTGATGGGATGTCCAAGTCCAGTCACTGCTGATGATGTCACAGGTAGGAAACAGTATCTCAGGTGCAGGATACGTATGTAGCGGTTCTCGTTGGGGGTGGTGACGTGAGGTCTTCCACTTCTGGGCCTGTCTACTGTCCGCCCTGTTTGCCTGTAGTGGGCCATCATCCTCGTGATGGTTAAACGTGTACTGCCCAAGGTCGCTGCAACATGTGCATGAGTGGTACCCATCTGTACATTCCAATGGCTCTCTCTCTCTCTGGATTCCTGCAATAATCGGGCATGGTCGCTGAAGTTGACTTGAAGGTCTGATGTCGAGGAATGTTTGAGTGCACTCTTATACCCCCAAAGATGCACGTGCTTAGTGCAAATCCGTTCACAAGATTTTCGTGCTTCGCGACCTGTTGCAGTGATGTTGTTCGCCCAAATACAACATTTTTCATGATAAATGTTAGGGAACCGTTGTAGCGTTTGTTTTAAGCTCATAACTACCTACAAAATTTGAGTTCGAGTCCAAATTATCGAATTAAATTTTGGTATTGTTTGTTTTGCTCGTTAGTTTATTAAATTAATTAAATGACTTTGACTCATCAGTGCAACTTGGCTTTCCGTTTAACGTGAAACTGCGAACATGAACATTACCAAATCATCAATTTCAATTGCTACATAACATTATTTATGTGACAGTGATGTAAAAATCATAATTAATGATCACTACAGTTTAATGTTGTACATAATAATTTACTAATAATCCTAAATAAAGAAAGTGGGTACGAGTTCTCTGATCGTTTTGGATACGAATTCAGCGCCGGTGAATGGCTTCACTGCTCGTTGTGTTTCTTTTGAAATGAATGTGCATAATTCACATCACATAAAGTCATGAGATGGACTCATGTAACAATACCGTAGATGTGCAAACAGGAAGATCCCCTCGAATTTCATTTCCACCAAAAAATACCCCATTCGACCTATCCGTTTAACAGAAGTCATGTATTTTTGTGTGGAAATATTCAATGTGCCCTCAGTACTTTATAGTATTTCTGCTCATCCACTGAACCGAAAAAAATCGCATAAAACTGGTCTAAAAACAGATGAATTTGAGAAAAGTAATGGTCCTAATAGGCTTCCATAGTTTGAAAATTCAGAGTAAGTCTGTGCTAATATTCGAGATTTTACGGGATGTCTTGGTAATAAATATAGCTTTTTTCCCCTTTTCTAACAATTAGGAAGTAATGACATGTCAAATTATGTCTCACTGTTTGTTTTTGTGTCGTTTTTTAGTGAAATCTCTACTGTGTATCATAAACGTTGAATGGCGTCAACAGCTCGAAGCTAACTATCGTTCAGTATCCACTACGTCAATGATTCTTGGCCTTGGGGGATAATATATGCAACTTATGTATATATTAGATATTAATGGTGCCAGTTAACTTGTAAATGTGTGAAAACAATTACCCTGGTTGTGTTGAGCCGTGACGGTGCACTGATCGGCCATCTTGTTTATGTGGTGCAATCTGCGGAAACACAGCGAGTAACAGCGGCCATCTGTTTTTTTTCGTATCAGATGTACACGATTTGGCATTACAAAAAATAACTTTTTCGAACAAAATTGTTCATGATACTTTTCTATACTTTTGATATGTTAAAAGTACACAACCTACTTGCATGTTCCAGCAAAAATGATTTTTATTGCAATTTGTTCTACCCCTTTTGCCAGTGTTTCTGGACTATTATGATAAACCCTGCATTTAAAACCATTATTTTCGTCTCTGACAAATGTTTTTTAAGTCATTTTTTCAATATGCTATTGATCAATGAGGGCGGTGGGGTAGCCTAGTGGTTAAAGCACCCACTCGTCACGCCGAAGATCCAGGTTCGATTCCCCACATATTGATGGAATATTGCTAAAAGCGGCGTGAAACTGAACTCACACTCTATGTCTACAGAACTTGAGAAGCGAAGGTGAGAGTTATCACCCCTCGTTTGTTACTATTGTTGTTTAACAAGACTGAGCACAGGTGATTGTTAGAAGAATTAGAAATGTAACCTTTTTCAATGAGAAGCCCTGAGTTGTTTTCTTAATCATCTGTTAGGACAGAAAAGTATGTAGGTGACAGGTAAATGAGTGTGAGCTGGTTTTCAGGTCATTTGGAGAAATGGTTCTGCAAAGTCACAATACATGAATAATGGTTTCCTGTAATGTGCCAAAATGGGAATTTGAACCAGGTCTTCATCATCGTGAGTTAATGTTTATTCAACTCCGCCAACCAGGAAACATTAATAGTAATAGGATTAAAACTACAAGTTAGAAACATTGTTGTCTTGTATTTTGCAGGTTCATCAGAAGGTTTCACCGCGTTTAGTAGCAGTTAGCAAAACCAAACCAGTGGATGCCATCGTTACAGCATATGAGTGTGGACAGCTTCACTTTGGGGAAAACTATGTAGGTAGTCAACAAAGAGTAGAGCATTCAGGAAAACCCCATTTGACAGAAATTGAATTGCCTTTTGCCTGTATTCATCTGCTTCAAGGATAACTAACATCTGTTTGCATGAAACCCTCCTTCAGAAACATCTATGTACTTTAGTTAGTAATTAAACATCTATCTCCTTTGCTTATGTTTAACCCGTGAAGGTCCAGGTTAGAATATCGATCTTCAGTAACCCATGCTTGTCGTAAGAAGCGACTAACGGGATCGGGTGGTCAGACTCGCTGACCTGGTTGGCACATGTCATCGGTTCCCATTTGCGCAGGTCGATGCTCATGCTGTTGATCACTGGATTGTCTGGTCCAGACCGATTATTTACAGACCACCGCCATATAGCTGGAATATTGCTGAGTGCAGAGTAAACCTAAACTCACTCACTCACTCGCTTATGTTTATATACTGTTGCCTGATTGATTCCATATTACATATGTTTGTCAGTGGTGTGCCATATAACTGGTATATTATAAGTTGTTCACTGGTCTCGAGGGGATCATGGGCTGATGTACCCTAGATGTTCGTTTGAACATAAAGAAACATCGAGGGTACATCAACCCATGGGCCCCGAGGGACCAGTGAACAATGTATTTATCTTAGCAAACACATTAATGGTAATTTTTTAACTGTTTGAAGCACAGGTATCGGATCATAGTGTGGAGTACCAGACGACAAGAAAAACAATGTAGAGTTATCTCCCTTCCATCGATTTGCATTCACAAAACATCGGATTCAATGTTATTCGAGATAAAGAATTACTACTATGGAGTACCAAATGAGTTCGGCATTCCCAGCGCGGGTACATAGAAAATGTCACTCGCTTGTAAGCGGGGTACATTGAAAATAATAGAAGAGCGCTCAGCCAATCAGAAAACAACATTTATGTGTGAGGCAAGATAATGTAATATGTACATCAGCAATTCAAATATCGCCATACTTCCCTTGAATATCTGTATTTTCCAACACAGTCACAGAAGAATTATTGTCATTGCATAGTTCATATCTTCTGTCTTGAAGTATTTGGATGGACTAGCAATGCTTAGCGCTGTCTACATTAATTTACCAGTTTTAAGTTGTCATTTGTTTGATGTAATCATTTATGGGTCAAACCTTGCCATCAGTCATAAAAAGTTATGGGTTTTGTTTCACCAATTGAAAAGTACAAATATGTATATAAAAGATTTTTGGGTCCGGAGAAGAAACTACAATAGGGATGGCTAAATGGATAGATCATCGGAAACATCGTCGATTAGAGACATTATTAATGATTATCAATATGAACATTGTGTCATCGATAATGTTGTACATAAACTATTCTGATGAAATAACTTTTCAATTTGCTCAGACAATACACAAAGTAGGTCTTTACTCATTGGCTGCTTTCGAAATTATATTCAAGATGGTGTCTTGTTAGTAATCTGAGTCAAACATGTCAGCACTCAGCAAGAGTGTGAAATATATTGATTTCTTTTGGAATATTGGGCATTTTTGCCCAAAGTCACATCTCCGATATTTATTGATAAGGCCAGACCAATTTTATGTCTTGTTTGCAGATTTTTGTCCTCTGAAATCTTAAAGACAGGAGGGAAAAAAAATCAAAGTAATATTCGTTTTAAATACTAAAAGTATTTTACTTTTTCAGTTAATGAATTGTATATGGGGCAAAAAAATCTGAAACAAATTGTCTTGAAAGTTTACATTTTTGGCCAATTTAAGCGAGGAATTTTTTTCTTTTTTTTTCTTCTTATTCTTGAAAAAATACAACCGGCAGATCCGTAAAAGAAGAAATAACATTGGCCTGGCCTAATCAATCAATATTCTGTCCAGAATTATTAATCTCTATGATCTCTGTTGCTAGCCAGCCCTAATCCAAATACAGCGTCTTGTATTGAGATATACTGTCATGCAATTTACATGCTAATAGTAATACACTGACCCTAATATCTGTTACGATGACCCTTGGGATTTTTGTGTCCTTGTATATTTTGGCACTGGTTCTTGCTTGTCTTATGACTGACTTGTTCACTGTTTTCTATTTCAGGTACAGGAGTTGCAAGAAAAAGGTCACAATTCAAAGGTGTTTATTCATATCTACTATTAATGTATCCAACATTTATCCTGCTTATGACACGTTTAATCTGAATATTGAGTAAAAACATGACCATGTATATTGTAAGTGAGTGAGTGAGTATCGTTGACGCCGCTTTTACTTTTAGCAATATTGCAGCAACATCACGGTGGGGGACACCAGAAATTGGCTTCACATATTGTACACATGTGGGGAATCGAACCCCGGTCTTCAGCATGACGAGGGGGCGGTGGGGTAGCCTAGTGGTTAAAGCGTTGGCTCGTCACGCCGAAGACCCGGGTTCGAATCCCCACATGGGTACAATGTTTGAAGCCCATTTCTGGTGTCCCCCGCCGTGATGTTGCTGGAATATTGCTAAAAGCGGCGTAAAACCAAACTCAGTGAGTCAGTCAGCATGACGAGCGAACGCTTTAACCACTGGGCTACCCCACCGCCCCTTATTAGATACATACTGGACTTGATTCATATATTTTCATATAGATATCATCTGTAAATATGCAAGTTCATATATCTGTAAATGACATGACAAATCTTTGAATCATTTATTGAGATCTGTGAAGTGTGATGTATATGTGATGATTGTGTAGAAGATATATACAATTTTGGATATATTTATGATTTGAAGACTCTTTTGGACAATCTTCAGTATTTTCACCAAATTTTAAAAAAACTTTAGAGCATTTTAGATAACGATCTTGACTCATGTGATCCACTGGTGAATTATGATGTTTGTATGTTGTGATGTAGATAAGTGGTATGGATGTTGGAAATGTGTTACAGAGTGAGGTGATATGTGAATGGTGTGATGGTCTGTATATCATCGATCTGTGTCTTTTCTCTGTTGTAGATTCTTGAACAATGCAGAGATATACGATGGCATTTCATCGGTCATCTTCAGAAAAATAAAGTCAACAAGGTTTTAGGTATGTTTAGCCCTCCTGTTGGCATGATAAGACCTTCTTAAACTTACTTTTTGTTATGAACACATAAATTCATTGATTGAAAACTCATATTTTGAAATAAAACACATAAATTCAATAGCTGAAATTTACTTTTTATATCAACACATAAATTCAATGATTGAAACTCACTTTTCGATACAAACACATAAATTCAATGATTGAAACTTACACTTGATATAAACATAAATTCAATGATTGAAACTTACATTTGATATCAACATAAATTCAATGATTGAAGCTTACTTTTCGACATGAACTATGCTCATGAGGTTAAGTAAAGTGGTTAGCATCCTGTAACCCGTGAAGGTCCGGGTTGGAATATTGATCTTCAGTAACCCATGCTTGTCGTAAGAGGCGACTAACGGGATCGGGTGGTCAGGCTTGCTGACTTGGTTGACACATGTCATTGGTTCCCCATTGCGCAGATCAATGCTCATGCTGTTGATCACTGGATTGTCTGGTCCAGATTCGATTATTTACAGACCGTTTACAGCCATATAGCTGGAATATTGCTGAGTGCAGCGTATAACTAAACTCACTCACTCACTCTATCACCTGTATCACTGAGCTTTGTCCTCACCTCTTGCTGACACGCCTTGACACAACTGATATACTTCTTTGAGAGGCATTTTAGAAGTTGTATAGATGAAGGAAAACCAAGTTCTATGGATAGTCAACTTCTTTATTGCAATGGGTGCAACGTTTCGGTGTAGGTACTAACACAGTTATCAAGCACGTTTCAGTGTAGGTACTAACACCGTTATCAAGCACGTTTCGTTGTAGGTACTAACACCGTTATCAAGCACGTTTCGATTGTAGGTACTAACACCGTTATCAAGCACGTTTCAGTGTAGGTACTAACACAGTTATCAAGCACGTTTCGTTGTAGGTACTAACACCGTTATCAAGCACGTTTCAGTGTAGGTACTAACACCGTTATCAAGCACGTTTCAGTGTAGGTACTAACACCGTTATCAAGCACGTTTCAGTTGTAGGTACTAACACCGTTATCAAGCACGTTTCAGTGTAGGTACTAACACCGTTATCAAGCACGTTTCAGTGTAGGTACTAACACCGTTATCAAACACGTTTCAGTGTAGGTACTAACACCGCTTATCAAGCGCGTTTACGTTGTAGGTACTAACACCGTTATCAAGCACGTTTCAGTGTAGGTACTAACACCGTTATCAAGCACGTTTCAGTGTAGGTACTAACACCGTTATCAAGCACGTTTCAGTGTAGGTACTAACACCGTTATCAAGCACGTTTCAGTGTAGGTACTAACACCGTTATCAAGCACGTTTCAGTGTGGGGTACTAACACCGTTATCAAGCACGTTTCGGTGTAGGTACTAACACTGTTATCAAGCACATTTCAGTGTAGGTACCAACACCGTTATCAAGCACGTTTCAGTGTAGGTACTAACACCGTTATCAAGCACGTTTTAGTGTAGGTACTAACACCGTTATCAAGCACGTTTCAGTGTAGGTACTTGCTTGATAATGGTGTTAGTTCCTTCACTAAACCGAAACGTTGCACCCATTGCAATAAAGAAGTTGACGATCCATAGAACTTGGTTTTGTTAAAAGTAGTGTTAAACCAAACTCATACATTCACACACAAACTGAAATTATTTAGAGGAAATATCTGGATCATATCTGTCTCAGTCATAAATTCATCCGCCATTCTTTTCATATGTGAGTACCCAAGAAGATCTGGGTTAGAACTTGTCCTCAGCAACCCATACTTGTTGTAAGAGGCTACTAACAGGATCAATGGTCAGGCTGTCTGAATTGGTTGACATATGTCATTGTATCCCAATTGTGTAGATCGATGCTCTTGCTGTTTATCGCTGGATTGTCTGGTCCAGATTTGATTATTTACAGAGTGCAGTCATATAGCTGGAATATTGCTGAGTGCAGCATTAAACAACAAACCAATGTTTTATGTGTGAGTGTTATGAGCTGATGAAAGCAAGGATGTATTGCTACCTAGGTGTGCCCAACCTGTACATGTTGGAGACGGTGGACTCGATGAAGCTGGCCCAGGCTGTTAACAACTCGTGGGAGAGGCTGACGAAGTCAAGTCAACTGAAGGTCATGGCTCAAGTGAACACCAGTGGTGAACAGAGTCAGTAAACCTTTCAGAATTCAGATCCAATTATCTCATTTGCATCGATGTCACATGTTTTACTGAACATTGAGAAATATGGGTCATTTTGTTTAAAGGCACTGTATCACACCCCACACTTATCTAAAAATAAATGATGCATTTCTGTCAATAATACTCAGCCCTCTGAACTGTCAACCCTCAGGGAAGCTACCATATAATTTTTTCCAAAAAGAATTAAGCATTTAGAGATTACGATATTAAGTTCGAATGGATAAATGCAACGTTGCAAATTAAATTGACTCTCGCGCCCTCTACCGGCCGAACATTGTTTCAAGCGAACCCCATAGAGTGATGCCCCTTGGAGGCTCTTTAGAAATATCCTACATACAAATTGTGATTGAAACTAGTTCGGCAAACATTGACAACACTGCGTGCGGCAGTTTTCGATGTATGGAGCAGTTTTTTATAATGTATGGAGCAATTGTTTACATTCCATATTATACCACCTATTATTGTTTTATGTAGAACACAGCTATAGAGAGTCTTGGTCATGTAACTTATGTTGGATCCTGTGGAATTCAGATTGATTGTGTTATGTAGGAGGTTTGCTGTACAATTGATCAAAACACCAAAATTTGGATGGCGAAGTACATATACACCTCAGTGACTATTGTCATACCTAGGTGCTGTCAAATACTGTTGTGTCAGACTTTGATGTGAGGAACTTACGGTTGTGTCCATGTAAAATGAATTTTTGATATGTATTCCTTTGAACCATTGTTTATGGAATAACTAGAAGTGGTAGTACATACCAAATCTTCTTCTCACCCATAAGTTTAGACACCAAAGCTTCTACAGCTCTATAACAAATCACTCAGCAAAACAAATGTTTGTAGTGTCAATTCGAGAACTTTACTGACTCATTTCAGATAAGCATGGTTGTTCCCCTGAGTCTGTGTGTGAGTTAGTCCAGTTTATACGAGAGAAGTGTTCCTCTCTAGACCTGGTGGGGCTCATGACTATTGGCGCCTACGACTACGATCTCAGTAAAGGGCCCAACCCAGACTTCCAGGTGAGTATCTGGGGATGTTACAGTGACTAGCAATGAGTGAGTGAGTGAGTTTAGTTTTATGCGCTTTTAGCAATATTCCTGCAATATGGCGGGGGACACCAGAAATGGGCTTCACACACTGTACCCATGTGGGGAATCGAACCTGTGTCTTCGGTGTGACGAGCAAACACTTTAACTACTAGGCTACCCCACAGCCACAATGAAGGTTTGCTGAAATGTGCCAAGTTAGATTGACATCGATCTATTGCAATAGTAGCTTTATAGAAAGGTTCACAACCTTGAATCAGGCCTTAGTTGGATGAGTAAGATCTGTAGTAAGGGGGTAGTTAGGAAAGAAAGCCTGAAGGCCGATAGCTCAGAGGTTATACTTGTTAGCCACCCTGCCTCCGTCTCTCGTGGTTGCAGGTTCGATTCTAGTATGCCTCCCAGTCCTGGACCACATTATTTTCCCTTCCTCCTTGTCCTTTCTGCAATGCTTAAAGGTCACATGCAACGTAAAACACAACTTTGCAGATTCTGATACCTTTCGGTATGGACTTACCGAAACAAATCGTCAAAAATGCAAATTCAACTTATAAAGTTGAAAAATAACGCGATGAAAAAAAACGCGCGAAATCGGAGTTCAAACGTTTCACTAATTTTCCCCAGACTTCTCTGGGGAAAACGGGTTTCAACAGCTGGGCTGCGCTCATAGCACGTCTGCGCAAGTAAATAGGGTCGCGCAGCTTGTAAGCGGGTTGTCGGGTGAATACTCGGTGAAGGCTTTAGTGTGAGCTATTTTTCTAATGTTTTGTTGATATCTCACAGGCGCGAGCTTTTTATATGTTAGGACAGTAAATTAACTGTTTATAATTTCATTTGTCTATTTCACCACACGTTCTTCTTACCGAGACACTTTCTCAGTTCGATACTTAAAAGCAATGTCATTATTTAGCGTTGACACAATTTCTAACTGTGATATAGATATGTCGTTGTCACAGACAAAACTCAATGTCTTGTTTTATTGACACCTGTGTGTCTGCCTGCCTGTCTGCTAATGACAATATTCAATACACAGCTGCTATCACTGACCACATGCAATTTGAACTTAACACCAATCAGGCTATACACCATAAACAAAATGCATTGATTTATGGCCCGAGTTCGGTGTCTGTCACATTATGTAATTACACAGACAGGCAGGTGTGATACTTGAACACATGACATGTTATGATGTCTGTTGATTGCAAAATGTTATACACAAAAAATGAGCATGTATTTACAAAACCCAACATCTCTATATATACACACACAATTAGCCGTGAAGGCATCTGCAAATGAGCCAGCCGTTACACTTGAGTGCACACCCACCCGCTCTGACTGGGTTCGGTATCCCGGCTGCTTCGTTTCTTGGGAAGTAAACCGAAGTACACAATTTTGCACTTTCGATTTGCGATTGTACGCTTATAATTTTGTTTATATATTTTTTAGTAACCAGCAATGTATATTATATGTCATGAATAAGTGATAATTGTGTTTTAATTATGTTTGATTTTTTGGTTGCATGTGACCTTTAAGCCGTTAATGAAGCAAGTCTAGATTTCCTTAGAATCTCCCATTTCACAGTGGTTCCTTTTCAGTTTGAAAGGAATTATTTGTTTCTTTGAAAATTATATATATTCAGAGACTAAGCATTAGTCTAGTTTAATATCTGCCGTGGAATTTTCATGTAAAAGCAATCTTGACCGATCAAAAGTCGACAACTAAAAGCCAGTTAACTGATATAGTTCAAATCTAAAACCTCAGTGCAGATCTTGATTATATTCATGTAAAACCTTGGATCTTACTTGAAAGAAATATAATCTCAAGGCAGGTCCTGCTGGGAGAGTAAGACCTCCCTGTCTTTCACTTTAGGCTTTCTAATTTGAGTCCAAATACTTGGTCAAATGAGAATAAGTCATATAGGACAATGGGATGACATAAGCAGAGGTTTACAATGTTGAGCCATCTTCCCCTTAACTCAGTTGTCTGTGTTATGAAAGTGCTGTATGTTCCTGTTTCAGTGCCTGGTTCGGTGTAGGGAGGAGGTGTGTGAGAAGCTGGGACTACAGCAGGAAGACCTGGAGCTCAGTATGGGGATGTCGGGAGACTATGAACATGCTGTAAGTACTAGAATAGTACCCTGGATAGCAATAAGATTAGTGGTGTAACGATTCATCGATAGTATCGATGTTTGCATCGCGATACGAGTGCATCGATACAAAACACGTTTAGGCAATATATCAGGATATTTATATCGCGAGGGTCCATGATACATCGATGTATCGCCACAAGAGACGATATATCCCGATACTACTTAAATATTACTTAAAGTTGAAGGGAGTATTGCATAAGTAATAGGAAGGGAGTCTCTTTGAAATTTTTCTGAATTTTAAAAACAAACTGAACCTAAAAGGAATTTGTTTGTGTCTGCCATCTTTGTTACATGAACAAAGGAGTTAGTGTATCAGTGAAAGCATGTGAACAATCTCTGTGAAGTGTAAAGACTTGTCTTTAAGTAATTGAAACATGTTTTAGTTGATTGACAAACAACACCATTTATTAACAACTATGAACGATGTCTTAGCTTTGTTAAGAAAGACAAGATAAAATTTAGAAAGCATACTTATGAGTTTTTTGCAGTGATTCTGGTATAAATTACTGTATAAATTGTCTGTGAAAGCATTAGTGCAGAAACACAACTTCCCAAGGGGAACCTAGATCAAGGTATACTGAATATGTTTGATTGTACTTTCTTAAGCATTAAACGCTGAAACTTTATTACGTGAACAGCCTTTTAAGTGTGTGTGAATGTAACATGTTCTGCTGTATAACAAATAAAGATTCAGTCTTTTTATCTATCATATATGTCCTGTTTTTAGGATTGTAAAGTATCGGGATAAGTATCGTATCGCCATCACTGTATCGTGATGATAATCGTCTCGGAGGTTCCTTGCCAATACTTTCATGATATATCGTCTCGCCTCATTAAACTAGTATCGGGATATATTGTCTCGCCACTTAGCCCACGATACACAGCTCTAAATAAGATACATGAGCATCCCAAAGTGTTCAAAATCCAAGCGTCTTTTTTAACCTTTCTTCAGCCAACTGTAACCCTTCTTTAACTGGCTCAGGCCAATTTCTATCAGTGTTGAGTGTGTAGTAAGCTATGACTTACATCATTCAAGGGAGATCATCCATAATTTCTTGTACCTCTTGTCAGTTAATACAGATAAATATGAAGGAACTTTATTGTTTGCAGATAGAGAATGGTAGCACCAATGTGCGTGTAGGGAGTACTATATTTGGAGCGAGGTCCTACCCCAACAAGGGAGAGAAGACTGACGGAGCCGCCGTGTCTGATGTTGCCAACGGTTTCCCCGATTCATAGCACCAACTGGAGTGTGGAAGAGACTGATGTCAGTGTATTATATCAATTCAGGGACTGGGACTTGCATGGACCTACTAACCAGAAAAGTCTTTGCGAAAGCACAATGCAATTTTTGAAATTAGGGCCCCTTGTCATTTTCTATATGTTGAAAGTGAAAGGCTTGGATTCAAATCTGATAGAAGGCCTCAAGGGCTGCAGGAACTATTAGTTTCAAACACTGTACATATTTATAAGTTGTGAGATCAGGTTTCCATGTTAAGTAACTTCTAATATCTGTGAATCTTGCAATTTCATTGGTTAATCTGTATCACATGATCAAAGAATACATATCAGTGTAGACTACTCAGATCACATGATTGACACTGCCCTCAAATACGAGTTGGATCATGCTGTGATCAGTATGGATCTGTCACATACTGGATATTGACTCTTTTCTGCTGGAAAACCTGATGAATTGTTTTCAGAAATGTGTCGTGTCTTGCAGGTATCTGTAATGAAACAGAGGACAGTTTGAAGGCTTTGTAAACATTAAAGTGAATTTCAGCATGACAAAACAAATAGTTACTCCTGATGAGGTAAAAATGAGAAAATAAGAACCAGTGACGTTATGCATTGAGATAACAAGTCGCTAAATAGGGCACTGATACCCGGTTCCTGCAGAGATATCAGCAATTGACATGGAAATCACTCACTCACCGATTTTTATAGACTAAACTTACGAAAGGTACTACAATTTACTTCACTGAGAAAGTTAAATCCAAAATTTAACATGTTACATTTGACCACTTTCTAAATGCCACCGTGTATTACAGACACAAGCAGTTTGTACATGAAGGGCTCCATTTAGAGAATGAGAGAATATTGATGTTCAGAACTTTGGGGATAATGAGTCTACATAACATCAAGAGGTTACTCACCAATACTAGGCATGGGTTCAAATGCAAATCTGATGTTTGAACATAGATGCTTGAGCTAATTTCTTGAAACAATACACTGTATTTATCAATGAACTGTATGGTACATTCCCTCCAAAATAGTGTTTGCAGGTCTACAAATTGATCATCTCAGGGTAATATGAGGCTGTCTGCTGTTGGGAGTCCAGTGAGCAACTCAAACCTGTATTGAGAATCTCAAAACAATATATTTTAAATCAGATGATGAAACTGTGATGTACTAGTATATAGTAAAAGTCACATATACCATGCAAAGGGTCTGTGATGTAGCCAAGTGGTTAAAGCATTCGCTCATAAGACCTGGGTTCAATTCCCTGCATGGGTACAATGTGTGAAGTCCATATCTGCTGTCCCCTGCCGTGATATTGCTGGAATATTCCTAAAAGCAGAGTAAAGCCATACTCACTCATTATAACATGTAAATACAACACTCTCACCAAAGAGTAAATCATTTGATATATTTAACATATTACATATTGTTTATGGCCAAAGAGATTGAAAGCAGTGCTGCACTGTAAACCTGTTGTGTGATGTCACAGAACTGTATGGTGGAAGGAGGTGAACTGAAAGTTAGGAAGGTGCTTGCTGTTATCCATTTCTGGCAAACAAGGATAAGTTGGACCGGCAGAGAACACATTTACGAGAAGTAGGTGGTGCACGGCAATGAGCAAACCCATTTGGTTTGTGAAAGGTAGAGCAGGCTCGCACATGTGCAATGCATGACGATGAAATTGATTCCGCGCGTAGCTGCACACGCCTTGCTCATAAGACTCTCATGTGGTCGGTAATATTCGGATATATAGATATATATTTCGAGAGAATGAAACATGTCAAAGTTAGGTAAGCACGGTCAGATAATACATTTTACTACAATGTTAGTAAGTACATGGAGAAAGAATCTACATCTACGAAACAGGCACTGTTAAAAGCGAGCAATGCAATGCGCTTCCCCATCGCACTACACTTGATCACGGACAACCTGGGGCCCCTTCTCTCACAATGCCAAGCACCAGTGGGTGGCACTCATACATGCTAATACAGGTTAATTGTCAGGTCGTGCTCAACTTATCCTTGTTTGCCAGTAGCACACTTGATGTATAGAAAAAGTTTCAAATACATGGTAATTGTATTGTGATTTGTTAAACTGTTGTAAAGATAATACTCTGAATTATACCTTTATGCAAAATTACTGTGATAGAGAGCGATTTCCTTATGTCTCTATATTAATGTGAGGATTAGGCATGAAGTTAATAAATGCACCCAGTGTAATATCATGCATACTAGGCCCCTTCTTTGATCGATTAGAAAAGTAAATTTAAATGTAAATTTGTAAATGCCTATGATTAGATATTCAGAATACCTACCAACTAGACAAAGGAGACTCAGTTCTGTCCATGTTCAACAAATATTTTGTCAGTGAGTTTCAGAACTTTGCCTCAAATATTCTACATATTATGGAGTGGTGGTTAAAGTGTTCACTCGTCAGACAAGGTTTGATTCCCCACATCGATGCAATGCGTGCAGCCCACTTCCGGTGCCCCTCATCATGTTGCAAGAATATTGCTAAATGCTGGTAAAACCCGACTGATTCTACATATCAACAACTGATTACTGGGGTGATGAAGGTATCTATTCCTGCACAGCAAGCTGTTGTGATGACTCTGTTCCAATGGGATGCTCTTTGCTCTGCAGGTGGGAAGAGGCAGTGTGGTAGCCTAGTGGTTACAGCTTTCGCTCATCAGGCCAAATACCCGGGTTTGATTCCAAACATGGGTACAATGTGTAAAGCCCATTTCTGGTGTCTCCCGCCGTGATTTTTCTGGAATATTGCTAAAAGCGGTGTAAAATCATAATCACTCACTATGGGAGATGTGTTGCACAGTCATTCCTGTTTGATTATTATGAGTTTAAATCCTGGATTCACCCATATTATCATGGTGTACCTGGTTCTTACTGCTATGACACATCTCATTGGTTTCATGAAAGTGGGAAACTATCTGTCCACCAACATCAAACTGTCAGGCTATGGTATGACTGAAATATTTTTGAAACTGAACTCACCCACTCACTATGAAATGATTTGAAGCTTTGCTCCATAATAAAGCTGAAATACAGTTATAAATGTCAACGTTGGTTCCTGCCTGGTGCTCGGCATTTATGGGTACAACAAGGACTGGTCGGGTCAGAGTCAGTATAATATGTCTGAGTGGGGTATTCATGCTTTACTGCGGCATGGTATCTCAGTGGGCTAGCACTATAAAACCAGCTTAAGTCTGGGCTAGTACAAGCAGCCTCACATACACATACACACGCATGCGCATCGTCATATGAGCGAAATATTCTCAAGCACGACGTTAAACCCAATTTCACCTCACCTATAAATGTCAACAAATACAACAAACTCTTGACTGCCAGGTTTGGCAATCTCATGCTTATAAGAGTTGGAAAAAAATCCCCATTTCTTTGAAACACATTACTTTTGAGGAAGAGTATATGCTTTTGAAATTCTTTGCTCGATGCTCATATTATGTATTATAAGAATTTCATGTTGGAATTTATGACTGAGAAACTTGATGATGTAAAATTGTGTCATGAAATATCACTTGTATTCCAGTATTTATTTCTCTTGTACTAATAATCATGAATGAAACAGACTGATTTAATATTATGTGAATATGTCTTTGAAACAGCAACAATGATTGTGTGGTTTGTTCATCTGGACAGCCTGGCCACTAGACAGGAGGTGGACTCATGATGCTAATGTCATCAATTCATCATAGGCAGGCAACTCTAAATATTCTTCAGTCAGGCTGAAGGGGGTCGTTGTTGGCACGAGTACTACAGATATGAGAACGTATGATGCAAAACAAATTTCCCTTGAGACTATAAAGAATTATCTTATCTTATATGTACCCCAGGTAGGTTTCTGTATACAGAAATATACCCCAGCCAAAATCAGAATAAGGAAATGTACCCACAGACAAGTCCATTCCACATTGTGCCATTTCCCTGGTCGAAACTGTCTTACTATTGTAGGAGATGCATTTGATTGAGTAATATATTAAATGAGCTGACGAGCCCATATGACAGTTCCGATCAAGAAAACAGGACAATGCAGAAACATACCTCGGGTACGTATCTGTAGTACCTATGCCTCCAAAAAACCCTTAACCGTCAGTAACAATCAGGAAATATTGTGAGTGATAATGATGTTCCTTGTCATTCTGGTAATGTCATCTCAAGGTATCTTCTCTACCATACTGGTGACAACATGATTTAAGCGACCCTGCTGAGCTAAGGATGTTTCTTGCCATGCTGGAGATGTCTTGCCTGTTTTGTTTGATGACAAATAGAAAACATTGTGCAGTGTGTGTATTATGTTTGTAATTTTCCTAACTTAAAAAAACAAACAATGGTAAAATATTAATGGTGGTTTTTCTGATGACATGTCAACCAAATCAACTAACCTGACTACCTTATTCCGGTTTGGCTCCTCTTCCAACAAACAAGGGTTGCTGAAAACCAATTTCACCTAGATCTTTACGTTTCAAATTTCCAGATGATGCTTACTGTTAAATATACTCCAACATCACAATGACCACGATCACCTGCACATTTGTCACTTGAATTTACAATCTAGTTAATAACAATTTTTCAAAGAGTGAGTGAGTATGGTTTTACGCTGCTTTTAGCAATATTCCAGCAATATCATGGCAGGGCACACCAGAAATGGGCTTCACCGTAGTAGTACCTATGGGGGAATGGAACCCAGGTTTTCAGCGTGACGAGCGGACGCTTTAGCCAGTAGGCTAACCCACCGCCCTGAATTATCAAAAGAAAACAAAACTGCTTATCACTGTTTGGTTGTAGATGTTTAATTATTTACAATCATAGCATGACACAAATCCTAACTGTTGCCCATCATTTTATATATTGTTCTGGATTATAGATTCATCTGATCCAAGTTGGCAATAAAGAGCCAATTTAGACTTTCAAAATGTACGTTCTATATGTTATATCATATTTCATATATTTTTCGTAAAATAACATCATGTTCAGCAATATTCCAGCTACATGACCTCAGCCTGTACATGATCAAGATGGGACTAGACAAACCAGTGATAGACATAACAAGTAACATCACCTTGGGTACTATGTTATGCAACATGCCAAGCCAGTCGGTGTGGTAGCACATACTGCTGGGGAATCTCACCTGGATTTCAGTCAGGGAGCTTTTTCAATCAATTACAAAGAGTGTAAAGATTGTACAAACAAGTACTCCACATTGTGTTCTCCAGTGCATGGTCCCAACTAATATAAAAATTGCACAAAAACTGAAATCAATAGTGTCCTTGCACTAACTCACTCTCACACTCACTCACACACATTATATATTATACATCACTATGTGCAACAAACTACATTCTTTCCAACTCTGTTGGAATTAAGAGTACCTAGACAGTGACACTGACATAATACATGTCTATATACATGATATATACTTATGAAAATGAAGAAACACTTTTAAAGGGAAAATCTGTTGAGTAAGAATTTAATCATAATGTTCCCAAGTAAAGCTGTATAGTGTGTTCAACAAGCCAGAAATAGACAGCACTCTGATTCTTATGACACAAAGTGTAGCAGGTAAACACCACTAAACCCACAACAAATTTAGATTCCATCCAAATTTTTTGAAAAAGGAACTGTTGACAACATGTTCAAAATCATTAAAGTGAAAAATGTGAAACTTCTTCATAGTTATAATGTACTTAATACCCACATCCCCTAAACAAAATATCATTATCCAATCTGAATAATAAACATGTAATAACGTATAACTGGCTGAAAACATTATCCAGAGCCTAGCTTAACTCACAGTCAACAATGACCAAGACAACATTAAACATATCTCTTATTGTGTGGAGACGTTGATCCATTATCTATAAATATGAAATAAGCATATGCAGAGAAATGTGTTTCAGTCTTCATGAAAGGGTCACCCTGGTCTGTTCCACTATGTAACCTTAGTGCTTTATGAAGGGGTGGCACGAAGATCACTTAGTGGAACAGACACCTGGTGTCATTGTCAAGCAAACCAGCACACCAACATCATCTTCATCAACGTCATCTTCTCTGAACAGTCTTCAGTTCATCTTGTATTTCATCCAGATTCCCCATACTGCAACAGGACATCAAATTGTATTTGCATCCAAGTTTACAATTACATAATCAACATAACCAACTACGATAAAGATTACTTTATAATAAATAATTTTTATGTACTAGTTTGACCTAAACCTGACAGTCACCATTCTCTTCCCACAGAGGTTACTTGTCATATCTTCCTACGTACCTCTGTTCTAATACGGCCCTTTCATGGTACGAGTGTTCGGGATTCGGGATTGGTTGAAATCAGATTTAGTCGTGCAATCAGCGATGTTGTATGCTTCGGGAAAACTAGAACCTCTTCGACTGCGCAATGCGCAAACGTTTCTTCTAGACAGAACTCAGTCATGTAATGGCGGATCAATGGCGTCTCCATCGCCCTCGTTGACAACGGACAAGCTAGCCAATAAATGTCTTGTGTGTCACATCAACATAAGTCCCCGGCAGAGGGGGCAAATTTGTGGCCCCACATTTGCTTGCATTAGTCAAGCTGGATCTAAGTCGATGTAACACGTGTTCTGATTGGATAGAAAGAAGGGAGATAATTCATGTTGCAATTTTTGGCCGCTAGGGGAGTTTACGAGAACCGGGAAATATGGCCATATCAGAACAGAGGTTCGTAGGAAGATATGACAAGTAACCTCTGTGGAAAGAGAATGGACAGTCACAAGACGTCATCAATTTCTTCAAACATTTCTAGCTACACAACACAACAGCTAATGAGTGTAACAATGTACCAGTTCATTCTAAACATGACTGTGGCAAGATGTCAACACTTTGGTCAGAATTTGATCTATGATTTGAGTTGATTAGTAAAACTATGGCTCACATATTGATATATACTGGAACTGGTTTAATACTGATATACAATCTTCTCCATGCATCAAACACTGTATGAAACATCCTACAATGACCCTGACAATGCCATTAGCATGATCTTAAAAATGATATCTTAACCATAGAATCTTTCTGGATATGCAGCCAGCCAAAAAATATTTAGCCCATTGGGCTGTTTAACAATCGACAGGTTAACATCACATCTATCTTACCTTCTCTCTATGGCAGCTTGTCTGAAACATTCAGTACCATGATATCAATGCTCAAATCAATAGGGACGTTTGGAAAATAACAATACTGAGGTACAATGAGTGAGTGAGTGAGTGAGTTCAGTTTTACGCCGCTTTTAACAATATTCCAGCTATATCACGGCGGAGGACACCAGAAATGGGCTTCACACATTGTACCCATGTGGGGAATCAAACCCGGGCCTTCAGCGTGATGAGCGAACACTTTAACCACTAGGCTACCCCACCGCCCTGAGGTACAATGAGCAATGACATGGTTTTATTCTTTAACTAAATATAACTTAAGTATACTATCCAAAGTAAGTCTGATGATTGTATATATACCATGGTTGGTGTGTTGCATAACGTCGCACTCAGCAATATTCCAGCTAGAAAGAGTTCCTTACGTACCCCCACCTATTTTTGTGATGAGCAAACACTGTAGTTTTGGCTATAGTTTATAGTTAAAACTTAGGTGGGGGTACCTACGGAACTCTTACCTTCCAGCTATATGGTAGTTGCTTGTAACTAATCGAGTATGGAGCAGACAATCCAGTGATCAACAGCACGAGCATTGATCTACGTAATAGGGATACAATGACATGTGTCAAGCAAACCAATGAACCCAATCCCATTAGATGCCTCTTACAACAAGCATGGATTGATAAAGACCAATATATACCAAGGGTTAGTCTTACTCTAATTGAAAAAAAATCGTATCCAGATTTAGTTAATCAGTGTTTATGTTGTCACTATTCCAGTAGTTAGACAGTCACTATTCCAGTTGCTGGGCAGTGTGAAGCCCATTTCTGACAGTCAAAAGACACTTCCATGACATTGCGATGAACTATCACCATGATTGTATACAGTACATTCAAATGTCTAAACCTTTGAGAAAATATGTTCAAAACACATCATGTTAGTTATAATTTGCTATTTTAATTTGAAATGGATACAGCATATATTTGAAACTTACTGAAATTCTAGTTGTGATTTGATGTGGTCCAGCTTCTTAAGTGTCTGCAAAATGAACACAATTGATCATTGTTGAAACAGAATAGCAAATTAAACTGAGTGAATGTTTTTACAAATAAGACATTGAGTCTACATATGCATGAATGACAGGGTATTCATTAAATCATTGGGTGACTGTGACCGGAAAGTGTAGAAGGAAGCATGATATCAGCTTGTATGGAATTTGTTGGTCACAGTAAGGAACAAGAGAGGCCATGAAGGTGGGTTGGCTTTGAATCATAGCTCACCTAATGTACATGATTTAGTGAGTGAAAGTAGCTGAAAGTAATGTGGTGAGAAATTCCATATGTTTCCTTTAGGCAGTAAAACATGATATTCTCTCAAAATGCCTCAGTGAAGAATATTTGTAAATGAAAATAATAAATCAGTAAAATGAAAAAGAATATCCCGACAAGTGCATCTATTTGCATGCTTTTATGCATCAGCTCCCAGGCTGTAAAATGGATTAGAAGGGAGAACAATGAACACCATCATTACTGAATTGAAAAATTAACTTTCATATATTTTTACAAATTTCGCCATAGGTGTTACATTTGTTTAGAGGTATTGTCTCGTAGGTCGGTCATCGCTTACTTGATCCACAACCACCACCACGACATCAGACTCTCAACAAGCTTTTAATCTTGAACATTGCTGGAGTACAAGTTGTCAGTCTGACATCATTCTGTATGACATAGCTTGAACTCTACTTACAATGGCAATACACTACAATTGGGTTTTGTGGTACCAAATTGTTTAGTTAGGTCTATTCAAATACATTTATAGTAATGAATAAACTCACATCAAAGGAATGATTGATGCAGGGCTCCTGGGAAGAAAAGTTTTTGGCTGCTTGAGCAAGAAGCTGTAACACAAGATGAACAACTATGAAATAAGACGGATTACATGTTGACAATTCTGAAGAATTATTTATGATTATCTCATTTTTGTAAAACAGATTCTATATTTATACCCCACCAACTCTGTCTGTAGCCTTGGATCCCCTTTCTCATCAAGCACTTCACCATATTTTCAAAGGGGACAACTTTCTGATGTCATTTGATGACCACTTACGTTCCGCATACAGGTGCTAATTAGCCATTTAAAATCAGAAAAAGAGTACCCGATAAAGGGCTAATGAAACCTAATGTTATGACAAATACTGAAATAGCTGACAACTAGAAAGAAACATGTCTTTTGGGAAGTGTACAACTTATCAAATTGAATAAAACCAGGAACATTATTACTTACATCGTTCGACTTTGATCCCCTTATAACCTGACGCGCCAGTGAACCAAGATCGTTTATGTTAGCCGTGATTTTTCTCATTTAATCTTGCTTTAGTTTCTTGGTTCCAGCTAGCAGACGCCATCTTTCATTTATTCCCGGAAACCAGTCTGTATGTTTGTTTACGACATCATGAACTCATCTTGGGATTAAGTCTAACTTTATCAGTCATTAATTTTGCATCGTTCGTATATATTGAATCTGTTCTGGATAAAAATAGTCCATATATATCACTTTCCGGTTAACATCTCCAGTGTGTCGAAATGTAAGCTGGTTCCCGGCTCCCTTTGCGCGCGCTAACGTTCGCCAAAGCGTATATGCGATATGCGAGACGGGGCCCAGCTTAGTCGAAATGATAAAACGACAACTGTAAACGGGGTAATTGTTTCCGGTTCCGTTGTGAAATAGTAAATAATGCTGAGAAAGTGATTTGTTAGACTGACAACAGGCGACTTCATAAATGAGAGAGCTTATCATGTGACAAACTAACAGCAGAATTTCACCAAGAAACGCCTCTGTTAGTTAGCCTGATCTCTAAGATCAGTATTTAAACTAGCAAACAAGCTTTTACTGGGATTTGGAGGGTAAACATGAGAAAAGGATGTAAACAAAAGGATATTATCGGTACCGTCACGTCTGAAAAGAGGTTCCAATTGAAGATGTTGACAAGGACTAAGGACCTCTGATCTTTTTGTGATCTACAGCGTGGTGTCTGTCTCCAGCCTACATGTCTTTTTATTATGTATATGTACAACCTGAAAATTGTCAATCATTGATTCATTCAATGACTGAATGACTTTCTCGAGGATTTGGTAATAGCTTGATATGTAAGTAAGCAGTTGAACATTGTATCTCCTGGCAGTTCAGACTGGTGTGGAAAGCAATTGGACAATTTCCTGTGTAAGATATTCGTTACTTTACGACAATGGAGGATGCAGATGAGTGCATCGACGATGCTCTCCGAGTGGAGATGGAGAAATATGTTCAGAAACTCACCATGTCAGGGAAACCAAAGCTTGATGCTGATGTCATGAAACAGTTCAAGAAAATATGCAAGTAAGTTCCAGGTTTAGCCGAGACCTGCGATGGGGTCCTACATGTCTTGACCACGTACATGTTACGTCCTCTACCTTCTCGGCTCTCGGCTTGTTCAGGTTATTCAGGGTTGTACTCCTTTATTACTGTCATGGCATTATTATTATTATTATTATTAATGGCATTAGTATGATCATCATGGCGCAGTGAAAATAACTTCCTCCGACTGTAGTGTTCCCACTGAAAAACAATCAATATCATCAGGTGTTATATTTGTATGATTGTGTCTTTAACCATGTTAACATTCAGTGTTAGCCTACAATGTTGCTGGCAGATCACACACATTTGTATCCTTGTATGGAGGGTTTGATCACAGATTGCTGTGTTGCATTGGAAGCTAGTGTGCTTCATTCGTGGACTTTCTTTGTTATTATGCAGTTCATCATGTTCATAGGGATTGACCTTATATACCATGACTGAAGATGGATGAAAAGTATTGTTCTTATAGCACATTTGATTAACAACTTGTCCAATAAGGTCATGATGCCAAAAGTGCACCCATGACATGCCTTAACTCTTAAGGAATGCTCCAGTCACACCTAAAAGAAAGCATATTTCTTTCTCCAAAGGTATAATAGTTATCATCCCTGTTATGAAAAATGTCTGGCATTTGTTGCCATGGTGATCATGTTGAATGAACAAGATTCTCTCTACCATGCCCATCATGTATATGCCAGTTGATGGACATATTAATCTTTAGCTAAACAGTTTAATCATTTTTTCTTTGTTTTCTCTTGTTCAGGAAGTCCAACACCTATGTGAAGCATGCCTATCACATGCTGATGATTGAACTGGAGAAAAACCATGCAGAGGTCCGTCTCTCCACCTTCCAAATCATTGATGAACTCTTCAACCGATCTCATGAGTTCCGTGAGCTGCTCATCTCAGACCTCCAGGTCTTCATGGAACTTACAGTTGGTGAGAGTCTCAGACATTACTCACCCTACTGACAGTCAGACTTTTGACATTACTCACCATGCTGACAGTCAGATGTTCGTCTTTAATCACCATGCTCGCAGTCAGATGTTCGTCTTTGATCACCATGCTCACAGTCAGACTCTCAGACATTATTCACCAGACTCTCACACATTATTCACCATGCTCACAGTCAGACTCTCACACATTATTTACCATGCTCACAGTCAGACTCTCACACATTATTCACCAGCCTCTCAGACAGTACTCACCTTGCTCACAGTATGATGTTTGTTATTAATTACCATGATCAAAGTCAGACTTTCGACATAATTCACCATGCTGACAGTCAGACTCTCAGACATTATTCACCATGATCACAGACAGATTTTCACCATGCTGAGCTTCAGACTTTCAGACATATCTCACTATCCTCACAGTGAGACTCCCTGTTTTATATGAATTCTGAGAAAAAGCAAAATTCAAGAATATATATGTGTGTATGGCATGTATATCTGAAACGCCTTCTGTTGGTACTGATCGAACTGTTCACATAGATCATGTAGGTATATCAAAGATTATTACCACTATTAGTACGAGGTAGGGCTGCGCAATATAACCGGTTTACCGGTATTTACCGATTCAGACATGAAAACGATACGTATTGCGATTCGCTGATCGAAAACCGGTATTTTGACATGCATTTGGAAAACTTCGTAACACTTGGAAATCTTCGGATATTTCCGTTTTTTTAATTTTTCTTTTCCCTGTTTCATTAGTGCCAAATGTTACTTACATTTTTATTTTGTCATGATTAAAAGTTTTTATAAAAGGTTAATCAATCATAGTGAGTTTGTTGTGTTTTTGCTTTATAATCAAGCATTAACTCGATTATAAGTAGTTTTTGTTAAAAAAATAATCCTTGCAATATATTGCAGTACATATCGCAATGTATGGTTCCGCATCGCAATATATCGCAATATGAAAATTCTCTGCAATACCCACCCCTAGTAAGAGGCATTTCGATATGCATTTTTACCAACAGTGATGCATTTATTTGTTATTACAGATACCAATCCTGATATGCCTCTTCCGCCCCCAAAGCCAATCGCCCAGACATTGAAGAGGGAGACGTTGAAGGCTTTCCAACAGTGGCAGGAGAAATATGGTGAAGCCTACAAGAAACTGGCATTGGGATATCACTACCTCCGCAGCTGCAAGATGGTAAGACTTGTTGCTTCCGATCGGTTTCAGAACCAACCTTTTAATGTCTAGGAGAGCTTGAGAATATTTTTATATGTTGACCTGAAAATAATTTTGTATTAAATTAACCATTACAAATTTAACAGAAGAAAATGTTGACAACTGTCACAATGCTATCAAAATAGTACTTGTGAATTATAACCTCAAGAGTCCCCCAACAAGTTTACATTTGGACTACAAACCCGAGGAGACATCAGCAGAATCAAGGACTTGACTGACATGTTAGACGTTGTCATCATCAATCAAGTAACATATTGTACGATGGGAGATATATGTTGTGAAATGCTGGTCAAACTCCCTGACTTATAACACATCTGACAACATATCAAATGTACTTCCATCAGGTGGATTTCAATGACATCCGATCAAGAACAATAGCAGAACGACGGCGCTCTGAGGAAAAGGAGAGGCGAAAACAGAACATTATGCGTGTCCGCCTGGAGCGTGTGTTGAAAGATATAGAAGGTGACGTGGATTGCATTGTTGTATTGTGTATTTCAGATATAGTAGAAAATGTAGAATGGCATGCTGTGTTAGTGTATGACATACTGCATGACATGATGTGTTGGTGTATGACATACTGCATGACATGATGTGTTGGTGTATGACATACTGCATGACATGATGTGTTGGTGTATGACATACTGCATGACATGATGTGTTGATGTATGACATGCTGCATGACATGATGTGTTGGTGTATGACATACTGCATGACATGTTGTGTTGATGTATACCATGCAGTATGACATGTTGTGTTGGTGTATAACATGCTCTGTTGGTGTATGGCTCTCTGTATGGCTGTGCTGGTGTATGATGAAATGATGTGTTGGTGTATAACATGCTGTTTTGAATGATGTGGTGTTGATGTATGACATACTGTTTGGAATGATGTGTTGGACATACTGTTTGTGATGTGTTGGTGTATACTGTTTGGAATGATGTGTTGGTGTGTTGATGTATGACATACTGTTTGGAATGATGTGTTGGTGTATGACATACATAATGTATTGTATGGCATGCTCCATGACTGTTTGGACAACTTTTGTGTTGGTGTATGACATACTGTATGACATACTGTGTTGGCATGACATGTCTGTTGGTGTATGACATACTGTATGGCATGATGTGTTGGTGTATAACATGCTGTATGACATGTTGTGTTGGTGTATGACATGCTGTATGACATGATGTGTTGGTGTATGACATATGATTTGCGGTGTCAGTGTATGGCAATGTGTAGGACACGTTTTGTTGGTGTATGACATGCTATATAACATGTTGTGTCATTGTGTGGCATGATGTGTATATTTATGTATGATACATCAGTGTATGACATGCCAGGTCTATTTTTATATGTTGGTGTATGATAAGCGGTATGACCTGTGTAACATGCTGTGTCTCTTTCATGACAGGCTGTGGGGCGGTGGGGTATCCCAGTGGTTAAAGCGTTTGCTTGTCACGCCGAAGACCCGGGTTAGATTCCACACATGGGTACAATGTGTGAAGCCCATTTCTGGTGTCCCCTGCCATGATATTGCTGGAATATTGCTAAAAGCGGCGTAAAACTAAACTCACTCACTCATGACAGGCTGTATGACCAGATGTGTCAATGCATGACATGACATATGGCATGTTGGCTATGTGTGTGACAAGTTCTGTTGTATGATATCAACTGTACTGCATTACAGCTGGATAGTGATAGTGGTAGTACCAAGGCCATGTTGTCATTTATCCTTTTGTATTTCTGTACATCATATTTCTTAAATTAATGTATGTTCCACCAGGGATAATCTACAACAGGGATAGGTCACTCGCTTGCTTTCTCTGCCATTTCTACTAATTAGCGTGTGCCTTGTCATGCTCCAATGCACACAGTGACTTGGTTCGTTCCCAGCGCAACTTCGGTTGCGTTTAACAGTACTTCAGCCAGTTTATTATATCAGTCGGCATACTTTTTGCAAGCATAAGCTTTACTGTCAATATGATCATGCATGTTTCCTTAAATATTTACACATATGTGTACAGTACTATTATGATATATGTTTGAATTGATCTGATACGCAATTAAAATGTCTCATAATGTTTCAATGCCTTTCTGTTTATGTTGAGTTCCCATGCCTTTTACTTTCAATTTCTAAATTATCTTCCAAATTTTACAATGAATTAATGAATTAATTATAGCAAAAATTATATGTGAATGAATGAATGAAAGAATAAATGATACACCCGGCCACCCCTCCCCAAACTTTCAGATAGGCTGAACAGTTGTCACAACACTCAGCGAATGAATGTAATCAGCTGTTGCTAAACTAAGCTTCCGCCATATTGGCTACACTGGTCATGTGACAAGCCGAGGCATACGCTAAGGGGCTTTTCGAGGAGTGACCACTCCCCGTCTTATAGTCTCCCTGGTTCCACTAAACATGCTCACTATGTCATTTCATAATGACTTGAGAGAAGGAAATGACTATAGAAATAAATACAGTGGACTCTGTCAATACCGGCCTCTGTAAACACCGGCACTCTGTCTATATCGGCACAAAGTTTCAGTCCCGACAGCGAACTTATCATAAGCGAACCTAGCTAAACCGCACTCTGTCAAAACCGGCATTTTATTTGGTCCCGACTGATGCGGTATTGACAGAAATAAATAGTACATACCATCAAATGTGCTCAAAATATTCTCAACTTGAGTAAAATATGTGAAGTCCTTTCTGGTGTACCATAGATGTAGTGAATGCAAGAATAAAGCTGGAAGTATAACTGTTTCATATTTAGAAGCAAAGGTAACGGAGAAAGAAATGTATTCCTTGCAGAGGGCGCCCCTGACATGGAGAATGCTGCAACAGAGGTGGAAAGCTGTCTGCAGTTACTGCTGCCATCTCCAGACAACTTCTTTATCTGTGACGATGACGATAGTGAAGACATGCCCACTACATCAGGGAAGGCGGATGCATTCAGTGATACTGTCAAGCCAAAGGAAGAGGACAATGCTAATAAGGTGCCCCAACTCTCTGACAGTACTTTAAGAGATGAAGACACTGTCGGCGCATCAGGCTCAACATCTCCATCTACCTCTACAGCAAACACCAAAGCCAGTGAGCCAGCAGAGACATCAACACAGCAGGAGAAAGAGGAGAAAGAGGAGGAGGAGGAGGAAGAGGATGATGACTTTGAGGATGTCCCAGATGCTGAAGGTTTAGTACAAGCTCATGGTCTCGGATCCCGCCAGTACAACATCTCTATTGATATGCAGGCAGTGGAGGCGTTTGTGCAGGAGACGGACGACAACAAGGAAATCTTTGACAACCTAAAGGACTCTCTCTGTCTGATAGCCATCAAGTACATCCCTCTCGTCGGGCGGTGGCTAGAGGTAGGTCACAGTGGAGGTAAAGTTAGCTTGACCTTCAACCTGTAAAATGACAGGATGTGAAGTTTTGAATAGGTAATAGTTATCATATTGTTGGGGGTGGTGAGGTAGCCTAATGGTTAAAGTGTTCACTTGACATGCCAAAGACCAGGGTTCGATTCCCCACATGGGTACAATGTGTGAACATGGTGTCCCCCGAAGTGATATTGCTGGAATATTGCTAAAAGTGGCGTAAAACCATACTCACTCAACTTTCTCATGATATTGTTTATTCCAGCATGACACCGAACAGAGCTTGACCAGTGATGACTGTGTTAGTTAGTGACAAGTTTTGAAACTCTCGGATTGGTATTTCTTTTTAATCTGACTGAGTGCGAAACTGTGTTGCCTCCTTAAACTTGTCTAATATGTATTTAGCTGTAAGATAGATCTACCGATTCCATCCTGCTTTTTGAAAATGTATTTTAATTGCCTGTGTATCAAAAGTGAAAAATAATCTTGGATCTATTTGTCCTGCTGCTCGGAATCTCCAATGATTGCCGTCATGAGCATAATCTGTGCAATTGGGATGTATCAAAATGAGGTTGTCGTCATTCTCATGAAGATTTTGTCATGTTCATTAGGAGTGGAATCCAGAAGAGAATGTTACACAAATGACAAGAGGAATTTTAACATGGACATTACAGATCTGCAAGAGAAAATAGCATGCATGATTTATTAGGTGCATATTTTCAGATTTTGTCCAAGAATGGCGGCTCTGAAGCAGACATCAAGAAGATGATCGACCTGAAGAACAAACTGTTGTCCACCAAGACCAAGTGTGATGAGCTCCGAGTCCTTCCTGCTGTTGAAATCGCCAAGAAGAATAAGAGGAACGACTCTGGTAGGTTGCTGTTGATGTAGAGTAATGTCAGTATCAGCAGCTCTAGTCTGTCACTAACAGGGGCGGTGGGGTAGCCTCGTGGTTAAAGCGTTCACTCATCACGCCGAAGACCCAGGTTCGATTCCCTACATGGGTACAATGTGTGAAGCCCATTTATGGTGTCCCCCGCCGTGATATTGCTGGAATATTGCTAAAAGCGGCGTAAAACCATACTTACTCACTATCACTACCATTGATTGTTGAATAGTCTGTGTCAGGTGCAAGAGCTCTGGTCTGTTGCTATCACTGATATGTAGTAGCCTGAGTCAGCAACAAAAGCTCTGGTAGGTTAAGGTTTGCGTAGTATATATCTTTGATACCCTTCTAGGGAGCCTGTTAGTATTAGCAGAATGCAGTCTGATGTGTAGGTTACATTATCTGTGATCAGTACAGTCCGTGAAGAATCTGTAACACCTACACTGAGCATCTTGCCGTCAGGAGTACTATTTGTTGAGACCGCCTCCGATAGAGCGGAAGGTAGCGGGTTCGATCCCCGACCGCGTCATACCAAAAGACGTTAAAATATGGTACTTGTTGGTCCCTGCCTGGCGCTCGGCATTAATGGGTACAACAAGGACTGGTCGGCTCGGAGTCAGTATAATGTGTCTGAGTGGGGTATTCATGCTTCACTGTGGCATGGTATCTCAGTGGGCTAGCACTATAAAACCAGCTTCAGTCTGGGCTAGTACAAGCAGCCACACATACCCATACACACGCATGCACGTCGTCATATGAGTGAAATATTCTCAAGCATGACGTTAAACCCAATTTCTACTCACCTCACTATTTGTTGATTCTCTTGTAGATGATGATGATGACTTCGAGGAAGTGCCGGAGAAGGAAGGCTATGAACCCAACATCCCACAGCATCTGAGAGCTGAGTATGGTGAGCATGTCTACAGTTTCCACTTTGAGCCGTCATTGAACCCATAGGCGGATCCAGAGGGGGGTTGCAGGGGTGCGCACCCCTCCTTTTGCCCTGAAAGTTTATTAAATGACCATTGAAACTCAGGTGAAAATGAAGTGTGCACCCCTCCTTTTCTCAATAGTGTGCCCCACCCCACCCCTTTCTCAAAAAGCTGTGTCCACCCCTGGAACCATCATCAAACCAAAAATGACCACAGGTAGCAATAGTGCTTACTCACACATTCCGGAAACTGTGGGCTAAACATCCCATGTCTACCAGGTCAGACTTGTATCTTGGTATTGTTTTAAGATTTTTTGTCAGTATTGGCTATCAATTGCTGAGTTTATCATATGGTACAGATCACATGTCACCAGCAATGTTGTTTGTGCGAAATACTTGGAAAGGGGACTGTATTTAGCAGCTTGACTGCTGAGAGTTTCTAGGGCTTCAGTCCTATCAACACATCTCTGTCCTTAGGCAACCGGTAGGGAAAGATGGTCATGTGACTGTTAATCCTCTTGTGCCTTGTATAATTCTCCCTCGTTTCTTACAAATCTTGAGGAGCAATTTTGCTCTTTATCAATAATCAATCAATATTTAGTTAACGATTATCGATCTCAATGATTTATATCGATAGCCAGCCCTAGTTTAGATATCCATCAGTTTATAACATGTTGTTTATATCTATCATTTCTTTATGATAAAAATATGCAGCAAATGGCCATAACAAAAGCAACAACTTTGTTATATCCGTCGTTATATATGTTTGTTATAAACATAGTTTACTATATTACAGGCTTGGAGCCCGTGTCTGAGTCAGTTGAGGAGAAGAAAAAAGCTCCCGAGAAGTTCATGGCACAGATGACTCCTCAATTTTGGAGTATGTCCGCCATTAGTTCTTTGACCAGCTATGAAGACCCAACGTCCAGGGAGGCCAACGTCTCGCGCCTCAATTCCACAGAGAGTAGCAACTCTACATTAGGTTACAGCGCAGGAAGGTACGATATAATCAGATGTGCAGAACAGAACAGTACAGTCAGTCAACCCATTCAGAGCTCCATATAAGGGCCGTGGATAGAAACGGCGTCATGTATAGGAAATAATTTATAGAAAACATCCACGATAACGGTATTGTTTTATTGTTTACTGGCCTAATTTAAAAACGTAGCAGATACGCATATACAGCAATGGTGTACACTTCACGGTCTTAGAATCATATTGTTTTGATTGTTTACTGACCTGTTTACATATAACACAGTAGCAATGTTGTGGTGCATATATGAAACGGCACATGAAGATTACTGATACTCCATTCCAACTTAAATTCCATATTTCAGTACTCTAAATGTACACTTGCACGGTTTTCATAGTACTCCTGAATTGAACAAATAAGGAGTACGATACTTGATGTTGAAAAAAGCAATCATCAATTATGAAGTATTTCAACCAATTCCCAACACTAGAGTATGTACTCTGATGTTGAAAAATTATCTGGAGCCCTGCCATTGATCCTGATGATGGGGCCATTCTTTGTGATATTTCGCCCTGTCGGATATGTACTAACATGAGTCAATGTGCCCTCGAACAAATATTTCGGTCTTGTTAACAATGGCATTTTAATATTTCTGTAAGAAGAGCCAGCCATTTTCTCTGTGGCTCAATGTCTCTGATATGTTGAATTTTAACTTCTGTCTTAGCAAAGAACACTGAACACATGTATCATGTAACTTCCACAGAAATGGATGAGTCTGAGTATAGTTTCAACCACTTTTAGTAATGTTCCAGCAATATCACCAGAAATTGGCTTCATTCATGTCGGGAATCGAACCCAGTCTTTGGCATCATGAGCAACCGCTTTAACCAATCGGCTACCCACAGAAACCATTCTGGAATTTGACGGAATATATACAATACTTGTAATATTGTTCCTACCTTTTGATCTGATGTGTTAGCTGTTTGTGTTCTGAGATGTGATCGTCATGATATGGCTGAGATATTGCCGATGTGACGTTAAATATTAACTCACTCACTCACTCTGAGATGTGATTGAAGTGAAGTGCAGTGGCCGACGTGCAAGTAGTGTTTAGTGTTTTAAAAGAACCCATCGACACAAGGGGCCAAGCCAGTCAACAGGCACAACACAAGTGATGACACAATCTCTTGACACCCCTTATACCCGTAATGGACTATGCAACATCTAAAAATAACCATAGACCAATGCTTAAAAATGATACTACTTGCGTGAAAACTATAGACAATGACAACTTCAAATAAACAAAATGTTACATGACTTCATACCTGCCACATGAAGATGTCATGGCTGTCACAAATAACAAGATACACATCATAACATTAGCAGTATAAGGGACTGTTAATAAGTTATGGCAATGTTAATTATGTTGTTTATTTAAAGAATCAACAAGAAAAACGGACGGTATAGACCGGAGTACACTAGCAATTTTAAAGTTATTTCCACCCCTGAAAATATTAAAAATTATTCTTAGAAATTATGGGAAGGGGGGTCATTGATTTTGTACATGGCATGCGGTGGGGTGGGGATGTCACTTACTTTGTACAGTACATAAATTGAAGGGGGGAGGGTCTGGTCCAGATCCGATTATTTACAGACCGCTGCCATATAGCTGGAATATTGCTGAGTGGCGTAAAACTAAACTCACTCACTCACTTGCCAAGACCTCCTATTGAGCTGTCCTGAGATCTCCATGAAGAGTAATATCATATTTGAGTAAGAGTCTGACTTTAATGACATTAATTACATATAAATCCAGGTCCAAGCATCCGTATGCTGGTACATCAAGGGAGACAACTGCAGCAGGCCCAGGAACATCAGGGAATACAACTCCAGCCAAGAAAGCTCGAGGTGACGCTCCAGTTGTGCCTTTTGGTGCAGACCTGGCTTATTGGGAGAACCCAGACAAGATGGAGGCTCCTGTTGTAATGAAGTAGGAATCTTTCCTTCTTACTGATTTGATTGTTTAGCGGTAGTGTAATCTTACAATGATACGGTACTGTATCACAATACAGGCCTCACGGTACAATACATATTTCTCATTTCCTGTGTCTTTCCTTCATACAGTTTTGAATGTTTAGCGGTAGTGTAATGATACAACGATACAGTTTTGTATCACCATACCAGGCTCACGGTGTGATACATCATTTCTCAGCTTCTGCATTACAGTGCATACAATGCTTAACATTATGTTAGATTGATTAAAAAACATGTGAATACTGACAGAAACTGTGCAAGAACCAGTTTGTGCAGTACTTCCTGGTTGACAATAATTAGCAGAGTCTTCACTGTGTCCAAAACTTATTTATTACCCACTCGTTGAAGATATCACTGTTTAGTAATTTTACAATGTTATTGCAGAATCATTGTATCGGTACATCTCTAATGTATAACCTGGTTATCGGATGCAGTAACTGTAAATGTTGTAACATTCTTAAAAATTTAACAAGTTAGAAGTAACGAGGTTATGAATTCTTTGAAGAAAGTCCTCCTTTGGGTACATATAAGCATGACTAGGTAAGTGTGATTTTCTATTTCCATACGGCTGTAGTTAGTTACTTCGATTGGATCAGTGTGTCAGACAGAATACCACTCCCAGGTTATTGTCTTTGGGAGTCTGTTTTATGCTTATATGTACCCCAAGGAGGACTTCTTCTGAAAAAGAATTATACAAACCTGTAGAGGTTATGAATTCTTTGAAGAAAGTCCTCCTTTGGGTTCGGCCACCCGCCTCCCCTCATTCTGTCTGATACATTCAGCATGAAAAGTGAGGTGCGAGGTTGTCGGCTAGAGTTACCTGCTCTTGCCGGTAGGGGGCCTCTCGGGGGCCCCATAGGGGTGGTCTCACAAGACAAAACGTGTTTTGTTTTGTAAATATTTTTATTAAAATATAGTTACAACTGTCATAGGCTTTTTAAAATGGACATTTTAATGCTTATATGTACCCCAAGGAGGACTTCTTCTGAAAAAGAATTAACAAGTTAAAAGTGATGAGGAAAGGTGACATATCCAGTGATGGGGTAAATTTGTGTGATTTGCTAATGACTTTTTGATAATATGTATCACTGGGCAATGGTGTAGCAGTATGACGGCAATCTGTAAATAACAGCATCTGGACAGGACAATAAGGTAAAATAAGGTCTTGAGCATCAATCTATGCAACTCGATGAAATATAATGACCATCAGCCAAGTCTGTGAGTCTGACTGCCTGTTAATCACATGGGTTGCTGAACAGCTGTTCTAAAGTGGATCTCAACGAGGGGGACACAACTGGGGAGCAGAGTAAGGTATCTTACTTGACAACGGGACCCGTGAAGATCCGGGGTAGAATAGGTCTTCAGCAACCCATGTGCTTGCCATAAAAGGCGACTATGCCGTGAAGATCCGGATTAGACTTGATCTTCAGTAACCCATGCTTGTCGTAAGAGACGACTAATGAGATCACGTGGTCAGTTTCGCTTACTTGGTTGACACATGTCATCGGTTCCCAATTGCGCAGATCGATGTTCATGCTGTTGATCACTGGATTGTCTGGTCCAGACTCGATTATTTACAGACCGCCGCCATATAGCTGGGATACTGCTGAGTGTGGCATAAAACTAAACTCACTCACTCACTCACTACTTGACAACGTGCCAAAATAGCTATAACAACCGTTTGCCTAGCACTATCTGCCTTGTGGTCAGGCAGTAGAGGAATACACAGTGTGTACAACCTGTGAAGTATTGATGACAGATATAACATTCTAAATTGGTGTTGCAGGTACGACTCTCTCCATCGGTTCTGGGTGCCACCAGAGTCGGAATCTGAGAAGCCTAATCCTGTGAGTCTATATTTGACATTTTTGTCATGAACAAAATAATTCTGTACATATCCCAATTCTGACACTGTCTTGAAGTAGGTTTAGAGTACATATATCAACCTGATCAAGTTAATCAGTACATGGTCAGATGACTAGATGACCAGAATCTTGCACGGTCACTCTCAGTCAAAGGAAGGTAACTCACTGATAATGCATGTGTTGGGTCAGTCTTGCCAATTTAAGATACGTTATGTACCATAGCTTTACCAAGCTTTCAAGTTTAACTTTAATAGGATTACGTGTAGAAAATTGAAGATTGTCTCACTGCACTATGATATCCCAATGTGTGATTTCTACTATGACTTAACATGCATTTCACTTAGATTTTGTGGTAGAAAACGAAACCTTTGAACCTAATTAATCACTCTCATAATGAACTATATAAGCCCCCAAACCGACTTAATCATTTATAACTGTACTTGTACATTGCAGTTAGATATTGCTGCAGTGAAAAACCGAACTTTCCACTTCACGGGAACCTTCGAACCTGTCAAGTGGAAGTGCAGAGCACCCATGCCAAATGGAGGACTTTGTGAGAGAATGGACAGGGTCAAGGTGAGGCAGAGGTCAAGGTCAGACCAAGGTCAAGGTCAGACTTATCTGAAGCCTGTTTTTACTGCAATTGAGGAGTTTAAGAGCATTTTATTTATATATTTATATGGATATGTCTTTTTGAATATCATGAAGGTGTAAATCCTTGCTAAAGTATGGCACAAAGTGACAGAACATGCTTTAAAATAGGGCATGATATACCTCAGTTTCTGTTTGACTTCCTTGCAGTGCCCGTTTCACGGGAAGGTCATTGCCCGTGATGAGGAGGGGCGTCCGGCACGTCTCAATGATGCACTGGAGATAGCAAAACAAGCAGAGAAGAATGCTGAAGGTATGTTAGATGCTGTGTAGGAAATATGCTGTGATGTTACATACAGAGAAGATGTGAGTGTATGGTATATGCACTGTAAGAGATCTGATTGTCAAAGCTAAAGATCCAACTTCTCATTTTATCTGTATATAACTAGTTAGTGGTCGTGAAAATTGTCTTACTATTACTTTTAGCCTTAAAAAAGTTACTTTTGATAATGCCTTTAAGGAAGACCTTTACTTTGTTTGAACTATGATACTACCACAGGGCTCCAGATAAGGGCCCTATCGGCGTATGTACGGATAAAAAATATGCACGATACGGTAGGAAATAATTGAGAAAACGTAGCACATACGCACCACAGCAATGCTGTACGGTCCTGGAATCATTTACAGACGTATTTATCTGAAAGAGTGTTGTTTTATTGTTTATTGACCTGTTTACACAGGAGTAGCAATGTTGTGGTGCATATATGAAACGAAACACAAGATTACTGATACGCCATTAAATTCCATTCAGTACTCAGAATGTACTCTTAAGTTTATCCAGTACTCCTATATTGCAGAAATAAGGAGTACATACTCCTGATGTTGAAAAATTATCTGCAGCCTGCTACCAAGCTCATTCAGTGCTCTGGTCCTTCTGGAAGTGGACTGGTGGTGTGACTGTCTGTCCTTGTCATACCATAACATGTTAAAAGATGGTACTTGTTGTTCCCCTGCCTGGTGCTCTGTATTAGGGGAATAAAACTGGGATTTGTGGTACGGTCAGTATGCTTGTACGTAAATAACTGCATGATGTTTTCTCATTGGGCTAGCATTGTAACACTAGCACAAGGCTGAACTGGTAAGGCAACCACACATGCATTCATGCTGCTGTGTGAGTGAATCAATCTTAAATAGGTCCATTTCACCTGACTTCTCCATTCCTAGAGCAAGTGCCTGACTGGCAGGATCCACAGCTGCTACGTGAAATCGAGGCCAGCACTGGCCTTGACCTACAGCTCAAACAGTATAAAGACAAGGGCAAGGGCAAAGGCAAGGGGAAGGGCAAGGGCAAAGGAAAGAAGACAAAGTATGGCAACTTGACAGATATTGACAAGATTAAGGATACCAGCAGGTCCCGTCTGGAAAGGAAGGTCTTCAATGCGTGAGTTTCTACACTGTTATCAGTGTCTACACTATTGTCACTCTCTTCACATTCTTCAATGTCTATGCTGTCCTCACTGTCTAAGTTTCATTGCTGTTGTCATTGTTTATCCTGTCAGAACTGTCTGTCCTGACATCGGGGTCTGTTACCACTGTCATCAGTGTCACACCATCATCACTGTCTGTTACCACTGTCATCAGTGTCACCTCTCATCAGTGTCACCTCTCATCACTGTCACCTCTCTCATCACTGTCACCTCTCTCATCACTGTCACCTTTCATCATTGTCACCTCTCTCATCACTGTCACCTCTCATTATTGTCACCTCTCATCACTGTCACCTCTCGTCACTATCACCTCTCCCATCACTGTCACCTCTCGTCACTATCACCTCTCCCATCACTGTCACCTCTCATCACTGTCACCTCTCCCATCACTGTCACCTCTCGTCACTATCACCTCTCCCATCACTGTCACCTCTCATCACTGTCACCTCTCCCGTCACTGTCACCTCTCATCATCACTGTCACCTCTCTCGTCACTGTCACCTCTCTCATCACTGTCACCTCTCTCATCACTGTCACCTCTCATCACTGTCACCTCTCTCATCACTGTCACCTCTCTCATCACTGTCACCTCTCTCGTCACTGTCACCTCTCTCATCACTGTCACCTCTCATCACTGTCAATGTTGTCTACACTACACTGTCATAACTGCAAAGTGGAATATAAAAGGGCCCTGGGGAGGGCAAGTGGTTGAAGTGTTTAATTTGAAGATCAGGTTTGATTGCCCTCGTGGTGATAATGGGAAGTCATAGATGAAATGTTGCCCTTGTGTTTCAACACAAGATGGACATTATTTACATTTTCACCATAGTTTGTCATTATTCAGTATATGTCACTCTGATACAAGTCATAAATATCTAAGGAATATGGTCTGAGAATGTGTTGTACACGTTAGTGCCACTGACGATGTTTCAGGTCGGCGGTGAAGCGTGTGACGATCACGGCTGGATGCAGCAGACTACCGACGTGTCCGTGACAAGTTTGGGAACCAGTTCAATTATTCTCTGTCACAGATTTAACAGAGTCATCACAGATCTTGTGTCCATGTACTTTGGAGTATATATCTGTGGAGTATGTCTTACACATACAGCTCATAGCACATGCATTGGACCTATATCAAGAGCTCATGGCACGGACTTGGGAGTTGTACACAGAACTTGTGCCCACAGACTTTGGGGCTGTAGCATAACTTATACATAGAGCTCATGTCCATACTCTTTGGAGTTGTAGACCCGTGAAGATCCGGGTTAGACTTGATCTTCAGTAACCCATGCTTGTCATAAGAGACGACTAATGGGATCGGGTGGTCAGGCTCGCTGACTTGGTTGACACATGTCATCGGTTCCCAATTGCGCAGATCGATGCTCATGCTGTTGATCACTGGATTGTCTGGTCCAGACACGATTATTTACAGACCGCTGCCATATAGCTGGAATATTGCTGAGTGCGGCGTAAAACTAAACTCACTCACTCACTTTGGAATTGTAGCATTACCATTACCTGAAGGTCATGGAGCAGACTTTGGAGGTATTAGAAGAACTTATGTCCACAGACCTTTGGGTTAAAGCATAACTTGTATATACAGAATTCATGACTTAGATTTTGTTGTACACAGAGTTCACACTGTCTTGTGTCACTTGTACCCAAAGCTCATACCAGAGGCTGAGAGGTATGCACAGAACCTATGGCTAAAGACCTTGAAGTTCGCCCGTAACCCCCATTTGAAATGTATTCTATTTATTAGGATTATTTCGAGGGGTTAGGGTTTAGGGTTATGTTTAGGCTTTTTATAAAAACCATAGACCTGTTTTTCTTAGGCATAGAATTATTTTTTAAAATACGGGGTTACGGGAGGAAATCTTTCCGAAAGTGGCAGTAAGACGAATACAACAACATCAGCTCATTCATACCAACATTCCTGAAGTGATCGGAATCTGTGACAACACTATGGTAGGATACAACTCAGATGTTGTCTTCTGTTTGATAAACAAAGAATTTGGTATGATAGAGAGATCAAACAACAATGTAAAATAGTTTTAATTATGGCACTCTATATCATGTACAAAGATAAAAAGCAAGTATCAGTGAAAACGGTTAAAAAGGCTTACTTTGTGGTAAAATCTTTCGTGTTCCAAATAGATCCTCAGAATAATATCACAAATAAATCCTTCATATGAAATGACAAAGCACAACATGCTTAATTCACCCAATGCCAACGTGGCATACTCAGTTCAAACTTGCTGACATGGCTTGTCCTTTCCTTACACTCCCAACCTTGAAAAAGACATAAGACAAAAGCGTAAGCCACAATTAAATAACCCCCTTTGTTGTTTGATAACCCAAGCTGGATCATGGACAATGAAAAGTGGTCAGTGGTAAACAGCAGTGGTGTTCCAATTAATTGAAATAATCGAAGATTGGTCGCAGTGACCAAACGACCAAGTAATCGATCACATTTTCTCATAATCGAACATAAACGATTTTGGAACTACTGTTTTAGTCTTTGAAATACTTGACAATGGAACATATCTTAGAAGTTTTCAGGGCCTGAAAACATGTTTAATTCACTTCACTATCTGAAAAATCATGACTGAATAGTTCTCTAAGACTCCAGGAAGTTTATATTCATGATATATCAGTCATCACTTTAAAGTAGCAAGCTGCAACATGTTATACATATCTGCAGTAACAACCTGGATAGGAAAATCTGAAAAATGATGCTAACCAATATCTTTCGATGATTGTTCGTTGGTAATGAAACAATCATCAATTGTGAGATTTCAACCAATTCCCAACACTAATAAACAGAGAGTCGGAGTTAGGGTGGACAGGTTTTTTAGGGACATTAAATATGTTTGAGAATCACTTCAGATTTATAAATATATATACAGATTTATATATATATATATATATATATATATATAAAATAGATTCTCATAACTATATTTCATTTGAAAACATAATTTTGTTCACGTCACAGGATGACAGATACATCATATTTCACTGTTTAATTGAATTTAAAGATTATTAAACCGAAAAAAATTGATTAACAAAATCCAAATTCTCCCAACTGTAAACTAATTTCTGTTCACTTCTTTGTTCAGCCACACAGATAAGACATATATATATAAATATAATTCAAGGCAATACATATCTGTTTTAGTTAATCATTATTTGTTGTCATTGTTTGAAATAAGATCCAAACTTATAATAATATCCATCAAACAATCCTTTTGGTCTCAGCATGAATGTCAAAACTAGGAGCTGGCACGCTAATACATAAGAACCACAAACAAGCATGGTACATTGATAGAATAGGAAGAGTGGGATTAAGATAAAAATAGGGCAAGAGTTCCGCCTGCAGTCCCTGCTTGAAATGTAATCTATTTATTAAGATTATTTTGAGGGTTTAGGTTTAGGTTTTAGGGTCAAATTTAGGCCAATTATTAAAAAACATAGGCCTATATTCTTAGGCATAGAATGATTAAAAACAGTATGAGTGTTACGGGCGGAAATCTTTCCAAAAATAGACTGTATACAGTGTGAATAGGCATAAATACGGGTAATGATCGCTTCCGATCAAGTGAGCGAAAGTCACTTGTACATAAAATGTCAGGTTAGAACGCTGCCAACATGTAGCTGTAGTGTTCCGAAGAGAGGTAAATTGGTCAAAGCGAGGTGTCCACTCGACACAAAACAGTGAGGGAGAGTCACTCACAGTTATAGTTAGTCGTCCGATGCCCTGACTTGCTGACAAATGCATTTGATGAAATGCATATGTTCACATTGCCATTTAGTTTCTTGCATGGGATGGACTCATGTATATAATATTGTATATAGTCATAAAATACCATGTCTTCACAATTATGTCTGATTTGTTTTAGATCATTGTTATTGTGTGTGTGTTCCATATGTATTTATTGAATTATGTCATTTTATGAAACCAAGACATGTAATCATGATTTTTATTTGTAAATATAATCATGCTGAATATCAGTATTTTGCATTTTGGTTTTCTTAGCAGTGTGTCCCACATAGTGTCAGCAACACCTGTTTGACCTATAGTGTCACCAATATCTGTTTGACCTATAGTGTCAGCAATACCTGTTTGACCAATAGCGTCAGCAATACCTGTTTGACCTATAGTGTCAGCAACACCTGTTTGACCTATAGTGTCAGCAACACCTGTTTGACCTATAGTGTCAGCAATAACTGTTTGACCTATACTGTCAGCAATATCTGTTTGACATATAGTGTCAGCAATACCTGTTTGACCTGTAGTGTCAGCAATACATGTTTGACCTATAGTATCAGCAATATCTGTTTGACCTATACTGTCAGCAATATCTGTTTAACCTATAGTGTCAACAATACCTGTTTGACCTATAGTGTCAGCAATACCTGTTTCATCTGTAGTGTCAGCAATACCTGTTTGACCTATAGTGTCAGCAATACCTGTTTGACCTATAGTGTCAGCAACACCTGTTTGACCTATAGTGTCAGCAATATCTGTTTGACCTATAGTGTCAGCAATATCTGTTTGACCTATAGTGTCAGCAAAACCTGTTTGACCTATAGTGTCAGCAATATCTGTTTGACCTATAGTGTCAGCAATATCTGTTTGACCTATAGTGTCAGCAATACCTGTTTGACCTATAGTGTCAGCAATATCTGTTTGACCTATAGTGTCAGCAATACCTGTTTGACCTATAGTGTCAGCAATACCTGTTTGACCTATAGTGTCAGCAACACCTGTTTGACCTATAGTGTCAGCAATACCTGTTTGACCTATAGTGTCAGCAATACCTGTTTGACCTATAGTGTCAGCAATATCTGTTTGACCTATAGTGTCAGCAATACCTGTTTGACCTATAGTGTCAGCAATACCTGTTTGACCTATACTGTCAGCAATACCTGTTTGACCTATAGTGTCAGCAATATCTGTTTGACCTATAGTGTCAGCAATATCTGTTTGACCTATAGTTGTCAGCACACCTGTTTGACCTATACTGTCAGCAATACCTGTTTGACCTATAGTGTCAGCAATATCTGTTTGACCTGCATATCTGTTTGACAGTGTCAGCAATACCTGTTTGACCTATAGTGTCAGCAATACCTGTTTGACCTATAGTGTCAGCAATACCTGTTTGACCTATAGTGTCAGCAATACCTGTTTGACCTATAGTGTCAGCAATATCTGTTTGACCTATAGTGTCAGCAATACCTGTTTGACCTATAGTGTCAGCAATACCTGTTTGACCTATAGTGTCAGCAATACCTGTTTGACCTATAGTGTCAGCAATACCTATGTTTGACCTATTTGTGCAATAGTGTCAGCAATATCTGTTTGACCTATAGTGTCAGCAATACCTGTTTGACCTATAGTATCAGCAATATCTGTTTGATCTGTAGTGTCAGCAATACCTGTTTGACCAATAGTGTCAGCAGTACCCAACCTTTAGTTTCACAACCTGATGGTAACATGTGTCAGTGGTACAAACTCCCAAATCCTGATGGTAACATGTGCCAGTGGTACAGACTTCCAACACCTGATGGTAAAGTGTGTCAGTGGTACAGACTCCCAACACCTGATGGTAACATGTGTCAGTGGTACTGACTCACCACACCTGATGGTAAAGTGTCAGTGGTACAGACTCCCAACACCTGATAGTAACGTGTGTCAGTGGTACTGACTCCCAACACCTGATGGTAAAGTGTCAGTGATACAGACTCCCAACACCTGATAGTAAAGTGTCAGTGGTACAGACTCCCAACACCTGATAGTAACGTGTGTCAGTGGTACTGACTCCCAACACCTGATGGTAAAGTGTCAGTGATACAGACTCCCAACACCTGATAGTAAAATGTGTCAGTGGTACAGACTCCCAACACCTGATAGTAACGTGTGTCAGTGGTACTGACTCACCACACCTGATGGTAAAGTGTCAGTGGTACAGACTCCCAACACCTGATAGTAAAGTGTCAGTGCTACAGACTCCCAACACCTGATAGTAACGTGTGTCAGTGGTACTGACTCCCAACACCTGATGGTAAAGTGTCAGTGATACAGACTTCCAACACCTGATGGTAAAGTGTCAGTGGTACAGACTCCCAACACCTGATAGTAAAGTGTCAGTGGTACAGACTCCCAACACCTGATAGTAACGTGTGTCAGTGATACAGACTTCCAACACCTGATGGTAAAGTGTCAGTGGTACAGACTCCCAACACCTGATAGTAACGTGTGTCAGTGATACAGACTTCCAACACCTGATAGTAAAGTGTCAGTGGTACAGACTCCCAACACCTGATG